AGCAAAATTCATATATATTTAGAGGGGGGATCCGATGGGCTGAGGCCGAAAATGCGTCAAAACATACGAGAACACGGCCCTTTTTTTCCATTGATAACAATAGTTTTAGTAGTAAGAGATGTACTGAAGTTAAGTAAAAAAATAGTCTGATTAATCTGTATGGATAATATATTTGGCAAGTGCATAAAATACACTTTCAAACGAGTTATGTACACAATTATTTCTACGACCACAATTATTTAAAGAATGTTCCAGGTGTTTTGTATATAAAGTGTACGCATAGGACACATAAATAAAATCTTATATCACAATGTTTCACCTAACCAGTTGGTTTATTTATAGAAATTAAACATAATAATTGAAGATATTACAGAAGAAAATAGGGAAATAAATTACATTTCCTTTTACACTTTTATATAATAATTGTTTTATTTAGAATTCACGAATCACTTATTATACATTAATTATAATTATTGTTAGTTTCGTTATGTCAAATCATTTATACTAGAGGTGTGAGGAAAATACAGTGAACTGTGGAACGCCAATATCGTTGGGTGCGCGTGGTAGAAATGGTCCTATCATACTGCTAAAAACATAGCTAAATTTTCATGGAAACACTGTACTTTTGACATTTGCGATACTCCGACGCATATGCATTATTGATGTAATCTCATGATTTTACAGTAATAGTTTTTGCAATTTTAGTGTGATTTTTAGGTTATTATGGTTATTCATTTTATTTGGTTCTGATCTTTTGCGCTTTTAGAGTATTTGTCTTTTATATAGTTTTTAATTTGAATTTTAATATTGTGGTCTATTTATATTTGATTGCTGCTTTTCGACTAGTGCTTTATTCTTTTTGTGTTAAAATAAGCTTTATAACCATTAAGTACATGCTTCTAGTTGATATCTACCTAATCGTCATCGGGTGCTTGCAACAATGGGAGAAAGTGTATGGTTTTTTTGGTGTAAAGTTAGACGCCTTCATTTTTCAGGTAAGTTATTTGTAGTTATTTTTTACTTAAAAGGATAGCAATACGTCCTGGTTCGGGGTGTGACTTTTGGGTTTTAGCTATCTGAGCCAAATTGTTGGCGAAGTGTCCTCTTTTAGGGCACCCAGAACCGAAAACTATATAGGTATATAATATGTTTTTTTTTTTTTATTATTTTTTAATATGTATGCAGCTTGGATGAGGGCTTTAGGAAGAGATCCTAAGACTGAACACTGACTGCTATAAATGCCGTTTTTAGAGCACATTTCATAGTAAGTGATTTCATTCTAGCAGCAATGAGGAAACGTTTAAAAAACATGCTGTACCAGCTATTACTTTAAGACCTCGTCTCTTTAAGTTATTATTACTTCATTCTAATGCATATATTAAAATGGTTTTTAACTTATGTCCTTATGATTAAAAGATGTAGGTATTTTAGTTATGTTATAATAGAAATATATGATACTTTGTATTGACTGACCTACTGGCCACTGGTCATTCCAATTTTACTCCCTTTTTTCATAAATTATCAAATTATTTAAAAACAAATACATACCTAGCTATTTTCTGTAAATTACATTAAAATTTTAGTATTAATACTTTACTAATAAAACTTCAGTTAATTTATCTTATATATATACACAACGGAAGAGTTAATTGGATTTTCTCCTTGTTGAGTTTCAAAAATAGTAATTTAACATGATTTAAAAACAAATACATGAAATGGGCAAAATAGGCCTGCAAAGGCCCTTTGTAAACAATCTCACTTGTATCGATGTGACGTAATGCGCGAATTCAATCTGGCTTACTTTTGTTAATAGATTGGCGTTCCATTTTAAATATACAGTTCACCGGGAATAGATTATTTAAATATACACGGACCGGGAAAACAAGTACGAAAAAATTCACTGGCTCCTGGACTAGTACTGTATCGAAGGAATTTTTATGAATGAAACAATATACGACCCTCCACAATTGCGGTCTACTCTACTTCCGCTGTTGTCAGACATTATTTTTTTTTTTGACAATTTAAAGACCTAACAGTAATTCAAGCAAACGCAATAACATTACTACAGTTAAAAACATCGCAAACTTGGCATCAATATTTTAATTTTATCCAAATATTGTATTTCTGTCAAGGATCATCCGCGTTGACTTCAGAAATTGTGTAATCTGTATTGGTTATACAGTGTGGAAACCACTTATGGAATAAAATTCTTTATGTCATTATTATAGAAAATTATAAAAAATGCCGAGACATGTCAACTTTTGAATTGAGTTGTGCGTTATGTAAACATAAATTTAAATGTACAGGGTGATTCACGCAAGTATGCCATAGTCGGTGTTGTTTTTTTTTAATGAAACACCCTGTATATTTACATACATACATTATTCAGTTTGTTGGAATCGGTTCATTAAGAGGATTTCAAAAATATGCAAATATACAGGGTGTTTCATTAAAAAAAAACAACACCGACTATGGCATACTTGCGTGAATCACCCTGTACATTTAAATTTATGTTTACATAACGCACAACTCAATTCAAAAGTTGAGGTGTCTCGGCATTTTTTACAATTTTCTAAAATAATGACATAAAGAATTTTATTCCATAAGTGGTTTCCACACTGTATATATCTATAGTTAAAAGCAAGTAAACTTGGCATCAATGTTCAATCCGATTTTTGAGTTTCTACCGCGGACACCACCGTTCATTCTTCAAAAATTTTGTAAATAATCCTATCTGTCTTGGTTATATATCTATGGTTTTGAGTCGCCATGCAATTAGGGACGCAATTCTTGACTTTACAAATGTTAATAGGAAGGTCCTTTCACCACCCCTTTCGCCACAAATGTTAAATAAAAAATATTAGATTATGACTAAAATTTATTTTTTTTCTAATAGTTGAAGTCCTTATTTATCTAATAGTGAACTAACTTTTAACTATTCCTTACCGTGCAAATTTTTGAGAATTTTTTTTTTTAATGTGAGTATTTGTACAGTTTCTTACGAGAAAGTAAGATAACAACAATTCTCGAATTATACGATTATTTATTGATTAGATGGAGTAGAAAAAAACTAAAATATGGTTTTTGAAATATTTAGGTTTTGTTTTTTACAATAAAATATATAGGTTACCGTGGAATTTATTGAGAAATTAATATTAAAAAAAAACTTCAAGTAACCTAGTTGAAAATTTTTTGTGTGAGTGAAAAACCAGAGTTGTCCTTATTTTGGGCTGTTTTGTTCGTTATAGTTTGTGATTGTGTGTATCCTACACGAAAACGGAGTGCTCTGATTGGCCCCCGGTGAGAGAGAGAATTCACCAATGGTGAGCGATCTCTCCCACCGCGGTTCGTCTATATCTAGGTAAATATAGCCGTTTCGGTCAGTTTGTAATGTGCTTTCGACTGAGGCTTTGCTTTTTAAAAAGTATTTATAACAAAATATGTTCGTTACGTGTTTGCGTGGGGCGTCGAGTCGTGTTGAATCAAACCATTCATCCATTTGTAGATCATTTTGCGTAGTAAAACGTAAATAATCCAAAAACAGACAGTTTGGCTCGATTTGATGTTCAGCCTCTGACGTCACAGTTTGGTCTTCAGTCCGATCGACCGGGGCCATGTCGGCCGGCTCATCGCTCAGTCGTCCATCCGACTGGATCTCGTAAATATCCATGCCGTGAGATTTGTGCTTCAGTCTGTTTGTCGCTGTGGAGGCATTGCATTGCATTTAAAACATTTATTCAACTTTTATATACATATATAAAATATTTACAACCTCTACATAAATTTTAAACACATTTCTGTAGGACTTGTACCGGCCTCGCAGTTTCTCACTAAGCCTATGGCGATATCTTCGCCAAAGATATCCGTGATCGCTTAAAATAGTGATTATGCTAAATATAGCCGCCCTCACTCCTTGCCAGAAAGACATTATTAAGGGATTCTTGGTTTGTTTTGCGTCAGTAATTGTATGTGTTTAGAGATTTGTCGTGGTTTAGTTATGTCGTTGTCCCCTGAAAAAGCTAGGAAAAACAGGGTTGTCATCGTTGTAAGTTGGTCTTGCGATAGCCTTCGTTGTTTGTCACAATTCACAGGAGATTTGTGCTTAGGAGCTACAATAGATCCACCTGATCCCCGTAGATATATCAAACCCGTTTTTATGTAAAAAACAATCAACCATATAACGGAAAACAACAAAATCGTCACACGTCAATCATCGCCAATTAGGCCCCTGCATTAACCAGATTTGACCCTACTTGATTTTCTAAATGGCCTTCGAGTAGCGCCATGCTTTCTCGTTATCGAATTCTAAAACAAGTTTTGTGTAATTGTATTATTTTTGTTCTGCGTTTATATTTAGTTGTGGCGCTTTCTGTGAATACGTGAAGCTGCCCAGTGAAATTGAAACTAATAAAAGATTTTGAGATATCGTTTAGCTCGAAATCAAGGTTTTTAAACACATATTATTATGCATGTTTAAATAATATATAAAACAATTTATGTGTCAAGATGTGAACGAGTGATAACCAAGGTCGTGCTTAATTATTTTTTCAAGGGTTTTATGTTATGAAGGAATAAAACTAAATAAAATGTTATGGTTCCGTCGTTCCGATATGTATGAATTTTTAGTCAAATACTCCTTATTTTAATACAATTAAGCAAGCAAACTAGTCCAAAAACTTTTCACTCAGCATCGTTACCTTCTATCACCCTCCGGACCCGACCTTGTTCATAATCGAACGATTCCAAAAACTTTGGATTTCCTAATTATTGTTTATTATATTTCATTTGTTAATGAGCTTGCGCGCATCAATTTGAAATCTTCATCCTGTTCGGTTACTTTTGTTTGATATTTACAATCAAGTCAAGTTGGCTTATGCGAGACGAGACAGTCGATGTTCGATGCGAAATAAATGAGTGGACTTCGCAACTGCTTAACTTAGATCGGTCATGGCAGTGAACGTGAAAAACACATAATAATAAATAAAGAGTGTTTTGAAGTGATGGAAAAATATCTGAACGCGGTGTTGATAGTGACTTTTTTGTGCTTTTCCGTGGCTTACGAAGATTTGGACAGTGAGTTAATGCCTTTTTTAGTGGGTTTTTTGTTCGATAGAAAGTGGTTTTCATGTGTCAGATGGGTTATCATTTGAAAATAGATTGTAGATAAATGAAACAAGTTATTCAAAAACAACTTTCATAAGTGGGTTTCTTTAGTTCTAAATTGTTTACTCACAGGAGTTTAAAAAAAAACGTTCATAATATGCGAAGCGTTTTTAAAATTAAATGGTTATACCTATTAATTTTATATTAATTGCTTTTGAATTATTTCGTTTCCACTTTCTGGCTTCTAGCTATCATCAGCTATAATCAACTTTAATAAATCATAATTCTCTATATATTTTATATAATTAGGTACCCATATTTATTATTTATAATAAAATATAAACAAACAGAAGCAGTGAAAGATCCAGGATTATGATGAGAAAGGGGCGATACACTTTTTTGTTGGTTTGGGTCATAAATAAAATAGTATGTCAGATGTCGAAACAAAAATTTCCTGAGCCTCAAAATTGTCCCAAAAAATGTAGGTATTGCTTGAGCCCACATTCAGGGGGGGGCGTCACTTCTCCTCTCCCTTTGGATCCACACCTGAACAGAATATCCAAAGAAGTGAAAACATACATTTAATTATGAACTAATTAATTACTCATTTCCCTGGACTATATATTAATTGACATAATAGATAATTTATTAGTCTACTTTACAGTCGTTAACTTGGAAGAATACCGACAGAACTCAAAAAGTAAATACAAATTTCGAGATAAGGTTTCAAAAGTTTCATGAAAATTAAAATTGAAATATCTACTTAAAAAAAATAACTTATCGCCAAATTTAAAGTTAACTTTAGCAAAGCTGGGACTTGTGACATTGTTGACGAAAAAAAACTTACATTTTTGGTTTTATGCTAAATGAAGACAAATGAAGTACAAATTGATAAATATGATATTTAAGGATAGAGAAACAAATTTTATTTTAAAAATCATCACAGCAAAGCTCCTGCATCATATAGGACATGCCAGTTTTTTTTTGCTTACATATTGATTACTTGATTAGAAACATAAATTTGATCAAACTTTCTAGTTTTTTTTTTTATAAGCTCAACTACTAAATAATTGTCATTGATTTTATTGATTTTAAGGTCAATAAAGCTGTCTTGTACGTGGAAATTATATTTTGATTAATGTATAACACAATTTTTATTCAAGAATTATCTGGCCGGCTTCTCCCCAAAGAAGGATGAAGGATCAGTGCGAGATCTGCCTCAAATTCATTAATTTAGAAGGACTAGAAAAAGAAAATCTTGTAATATTATAACAAAAAAAAAGATTACTATTTTAAATTGTTTTGGTCAGTAGCGACACAAGTCAAAATATGATATAAATGGAAAAAATGTTTATCAATAATTATAGAAAATAACGATTTAAGTCAAAATAAATCATCTTAATAACTATTATACAAAAACATATACGAAAAAAACTGACACATCTAAAAATAAGCTATTTATAATATAATTACTTATTTTAGAGAAAACTGGTGTAACTCAAAATGTTACGGTTTTGCTCTAATAATAATCTGATAGAAAACTTTGCATTTTCCAAACTGTGATAGTTTTGAACAAATAATAACCTACACTACTCAAGACGACTAACAAACAACTGAATATGTAACAGTTTTGCAGCGAAGGGAATTGTCAGTTTACATATTTCAAAACTGACGTAACTGCTCTCTAGTGAATGGAACTGCCAGTTATCTTTAAGACACTGTTTCACGTAAAAATTAGTTAGTTTTGGATTGTATGTATGCAAAAAGTATAAAATCAAAAAAAATTGAGTTGTGTCAGTTTTGTTCCAAGGTAATTTCATTATAAAAGTTGTTATTCATTTAAAACATTTTAGCCCTTTCTATTTATACACCATCAAATCGCTTAAAAATTTGATGATGGTCACTCAGAAATTAAACATCGCTGTATAGTCAGATTTATACAGCGCCTGGCACCTGGCATCCGGTACAAAAAATAATTCTTCAATACCTACCTCCTTTTCTTAAAAACACTGTATAATAATATGAACCTCCTCAAAGTATCTTACCACACCGATACCATTTATTGAAATGGTAAACACACAATAGTATGAGAGCCCACTGCAAATTTCGACCATCATCTGATAACGAAATGAAATATGCTCTAAAGGCATGTAACAACATTGTACTTCACCAAATTGCACCTGTGCCAATCCCTATCCTGAGCAAAGTGGTTAAAAAAAATAATTTTATATTCAAAAAATCACATAAAACATGACAGTGACAATTATGTTTTCCTTGAAAATTACAAACCTAATTCATTGTGAATCTAGCTTTCAAACCTGAATTATTAATATTTTTACCTACCTCTTAAACCATGTTTATGTACGAAAGGAAGAAGGATGGCATTGTATAAACCATTTGCAGAGATAGTCAATAATAATTATAAACTCTTGTAAGGGTCGATTCCACCGTTGTGTTAAACGGAGATTAAAATGACTTTGTTAATGTAAAAATGTCATTTTAAACTTCGTTTAACACAACGGTGGAATCGGTCCTTAGACAATTATTTTAAACCATAATCATAGTAGTTTTTTGTCGTTTCTATGGCAACCTGTTAAAATGAATCACAACAATAGGCATACAAATACATTTTTAAATCATATTTTTAATGATATTTACCTACTAATCGTGGATAGATGTTCTATGCGATGTCAAGATGAAGAAAATGTTTCCCTTTAACGATATATATCAAGATATATTTGAATGTTATTTTCTGAAAAACTTTAATGGCAAACAAAATTAGCGCTGTCATGCCTTAAAATAATTGTTTTAAGCCACTTTGCTCAGGATTGGGATTGGCACAGGTGCCATTTGGAAAAGTACAATGTTTTTACATACTTTTGGGGTATATTTCATTTCATTATCAGATGACAGTAACCATTTGCAGTGGGCTCTTGGGCTATTATGATTTGATTCGAGTTGCGCAATGTATAAACTATAACCAAAGTATATTAACCGTTGAGTAGCGACAGCTGGGGAACCGAATTCTAGTGCGCCGACGCGAAATAGAGAGGCGAGACGTCTACTAAAGATGTAAACAACCCCTTTCACTTTAGTCCGGCAGCTGATATAGGAATTTGTTGTTGTGGATTTATTAGTGCTCTTTTATTGTGTTTTTGTTAAGATTTTTTGGGGTTTTGTGGGTTTTTCATTATGTCAGGAAATGCATGTGCTATAAGTGATATATATTTTTATATATACTACATTAGTTAAATACTCATAAATATAAAACTGCCTAATGACCAAACCTTTATTATAAATGTAAACTACAAAAGAGTTTTACTTCAAATTACGTCGAGCAGTGTAAACATCACATTCAAGACCAGTTCATAATTCGAGCATTGTTTTACTGTGTCGTTCCGTCAATAACGTCAAAAGAGAGAGAAAGAAAATTTGCACCACCTAAAGATCAAAGGCACCGACGCTTTATGTCGCTACTCAACGGTTAATATACTTTGCTATAACATTGTCAAGGCAAAGTGAACGAACTGATTATTTAGCTATAAACTGTGTCATTGTCATAAGCAGTTGGCATTTCTAATAATTTGAAAAATTAGAAGTTTTCTTAGAATTCATTAAGTCGTAATTAATTTGATAAAACATTTAACATTTTAAAAATATTTGTCTTTAAATAAAGTGGAAAAAACGTAAAAATAAACGATTTCTTAAAAATGACGAATATTTATACATTGTTAACCTTTAGGTCATACTTTTACTGATAAAAAATATATTATTTATGATTAAATCATGTCAAGACTTGTGTGTTTACTACTTTTCCACAGAACTAACCCCAATTCGTAAAATTAACAATAACTAAAAATCTGATGTGTCCAACACATGACTTTCCTATCTAGTTATTATAGGCTTTTTCCGGTTATTTTGTACAACCTATTGCAGCATCTCTATAAATGTTTAGAGGATAAACTAAATATATACATTGTCCACATACATCTACCTCGAAACATTTTTCTATAGATATTCATGGAAAACGAAAATACTGAAAAATTTTAATTTCCTACAATTTTTTCATTACGGTTCATTTTAGAAAAATCATGTATAAACAAAAATTATAGAGATCGATATCGCAAACAACTTTTATTTCAAAAACTTTCATAAAAATCAGAATTTTGCACATTTTGTCAAATTTCTCGAATACGGACCATTCCAGGAAATTTTTACATAAAACAAAAATTATAGATAATAATATTAGAAGTAACTTTTATTTGAACAATTTTTTTCTCCAAATAGATATATTCCATAAAATATAAAAATGACCACCCATAAAGTACCCCCCCCAGATGTTCCGACTCTGCCCAAAATCTAATCAGCTCATTGGACGCTGAAACAAAGCTTAAGTTTAAAATTTGGTGTTTTTCTGTGTATCGGTTCATGAGTTATGCGTTATACAGACACACACACGCACGCACGCACGCACGCACGCACGTACGCACACACGCACGCACGCACGCACGCACGCACGCACGCACCCACACACACACACACACACACACACACACACACACACACACACACACACACACACACACACACACACACACACACACACACACACACACACACACACACACACACACACACACACACACACACACACACACACACACACACACACACACACACACACACACACACACACACACACACACACACACACACACACACACACACACACACACACACACACACACACACACACACACACACACACACACACACACACACACACACACACACACACACACACACACACACACACACACACACACACACACACACACACACACACACACACACACACACACACACACACACACACACACACACACACACACACACACACACACACACACACACACACACACACACACACACACACACACACACACACACACACACACACACACACACACACACACACACACACACACACACACACACACACACACACACACACACACACACACACACACACACACACACACACACACACACACACACACACACACACACACACACACACACACACACACACACACACACACACACACACACACACACACACACACACACACACACACACACACACACACACACACACACACACACACACACACACACATACATCGCGAAAATAGTCAAAACGGATTCAGGGAACCTCAAAACGTAAAAATCCGTCGAAAACTCGAGGTCGAAAAAAATCATGATTCCTATACTTTCCTTATATCTATCTGTATACAGATAGGAAAGTAAAAATTATACTTTTAACCAATTTTTAACCAAAATTCAACCGAAAATCAGGTAATAATATACAGGATGGGCATCGAAAACTGTCCACCCAGTTTTTTTTTTTTGTATTGATGCAAAAAAACAACAAAAACCGCTCGGACTAGTTGATTTTTGGTTGGAAGGGAACACTTTTTTTCTTATTGCAGCATCGGCGCTTCAACCCTCGAGCTGTGGGGTGAAGGAGGAAGTACCTACCAAGGATGGCACATATTGAAAATGTAATTTGATAAAAAATTCGGCAATAAGAATATTCACTGCTTTACTTTTAGTTTTATAAAGTGCCGTCTGGAGGAATAAAAAACTGTTAAGTATTGTAAAGTGTGATACTTCATTTGAATGCTAATTTTGTTACTAATTCAATGCACCACATAACATTATTTTTTTGCATTAAAATTAGCTTTCAAATATAGTTTCAAACTTTATAATACGTAACAGTTTCTATCCCACGAGAAGGGGCTAAAATCGAAAGTAAAGCAATGAATTGTCTTATTTTCGAATTCTCCATCAAATTACCTTTTTAATGAGGTAATTCCTTATTTAAATTGTATGGTTGATTATCTCAAAAAGTGTCCATCCAGAAGCAGTAAATAAGGTTTCAGAAAGTGACCGCCAGAATTGCGATCGTGTACTTGAAGCCCAGTATAAAGAATAATACAGTAGCGACAGATCATTTTTTATGAGGTGTCCATATTTTTCTGCGCATGTCCGAAAATAAGCGACAAAAACGTCAACGTCAATAGTGTCAATGCGATGTAAATATGACATTATTTTTGTTTGTTTGCAGTGTATATTTTGAGACATTTTTATTATTTTAGTTTTTCATTTATTGTGTGATATTTTTGAAATGGCTTCTGCACCTGATCAGAAAAAAAAGAGATGTGTCTATCGCCCTTGTCCATCTCAAACAGAGTAAACAGACAAAGGGACAAGTTATTTTGCATTTCCCATGGAGCCATAAAGGTATGTCTTGAGAAAATACTTTCAATTTTTATATTTGAAAACCAAATATTTATTTGACAACCAAATATTTATTATTTAAATGTCTTGAGGACAATTTTTACAATTTCAACAAAAATAATGTAAAAAATATATAATTTCTGAACTACCGTCAATCTAAACATTTGTTATCAACTTTTTTATATTTTAGGGCCAACATGTGGTTAAGAGCTTGTAATAGGGAAGATTTGAGTAACATAGATGTGAACAGTCTTCATCGGAATTACAGGTTGTGTGAGAAACATTTTGAGAAGAATTTTTTTTCTAAAACGTTGAACCGTAAACGTTTATTGCCTACTGCTGTTCCCACATTTTTTATCCATCTAGGTCATCAGCCAAATGTCTATCTTCTCCCTAGTACATCGACCAAGTGCTTCCTCTGTTGAGACTATCATTGAACATGAATGAGACATTTTTGAAAGCGTACCATGTGCAACCTTTGGACATTCTTAATCAAAAATCCTACCTCCAAATTATTATAATGAATTAGATGTTCTTTGATTCACTATGTCCATTGATTAAAAATGTTCTGATTGACTACATCTAATCAAAATATATATGTATTTCTTGTAAAGTAGCAAAAAGAAAACAAAAAAATGTATTTTGTGGTGTTATTTTAACTGTTTTTTAATTTTTGATTTGTTTCATTTATACAATATTTAAGCACTTAAACAATAATATATATAATCTTATAAACAGTTGTATGATATATACGTTAGGGAAATTAGGACAAGGATGATTAAATTCTATTTCTTTCATATCAAAAAAAGCTATGGGATATACCAGACATTACACAGGTATTGCTAAAAATAGATATAACATTTTTTTATAATTTAAATATATAGATAATAAACTTTTCATTTGGAGTTTTTAGGCCTCCATAAGTGCTTTATTTGCAATCATATGTTAAAATCTGTGAACTATCCAAATCTTCACATTCTTTTGAAAATTTAATAAATGTATCACATCCATGTATGCCTAAAGCTTTTTTGATCAAATAGCCACAAACATATTTAAATGGATTTTGAACTATTATATCTTGTCCTGTAGCTGTAATTAGGAAGAAAAACAGCTTCTTGAGTGTTTTTATTTATTTCAGGATACAGAGAGACAATATTTTTTACATCTAATTGTAGCAAGTGCTTGTCCAGGTCTTCATTACAATTCATGGAATTGCAATGAAGATAATTTTGACAAAAACGTTTTTTAAATGCCCTTTCGAATGGTACAGGTGTTGGATTAATTAAATTCCCACCCTGTTGCCTAATGGACCCAACAAATTTTTCTAGACAGTCACTGTTGATTCTTCTAGCCATTAAATATTTAAATCCCGCAGCAGATAACCATTCCCATACAAATTTTAAACCATAAAATCGTTAAATATAAACATCTAATTTTTATGATGTGACGTTAATAGTATTTAATTATATACATAGGTAATATAAGCAATTGGGCAGCATTTTGCTTAACGGGTGACTTACAACAGGCATTTGCTAAAACTCATCTGAAGTCAAAAATTTGTACGTAGGAACAAAAATTGAAATAAAATAATTCTTGTATTGTAAATTCATTAAAAACTTACTAATTTGTAATTGTGTGTTTTAATAAATATTATTGTTATATGTTGTTTCACTTCTAAAAAGATACCTACATAACCTCATTTTAAATAAAAAAATAAGGTGCTGAGTTAATTTATTAGTTCCAGGAAGAAACCAAAAACTGTTTGACACATTTCATACAATGAATGGCATACAAAAGTAATTTATTTTATTCTAATGATAAAATTTTAAAATTGGCACATCTATATTTTCACCGGAACTCATTTATTTAAGTTACACAATATTTTGATTAATTTATTTGCCTAGAATACATTAAAATGTTATATGTACATGTTTTAATTTTTTTCTAATTGTACATCGCTAATTTGCAATTTTAGAGTTTACTTTTCTCCGTGTAGAAATAAGCGACAAAAACGTCAACTGTCATTGAAAATCTGACCACCCCGACATCAAAGAAGCCGACGCAATCTGTCGCTACTGTATTGTTCTTTATACTGGGCTTGAAGGGAAAGATACAATGATATATAGTTATATAGATTGCTCATCCATATGTAAATTAGACGACGAAAAGCACTATTGTCGTCTATCTGTCTAGTCAGTCGCTTTTCACGATGTATTTTTTAGTTTTTAGACTATACCCTTAGAGCATATACCTTTTTATTAACATATGTGAGCTATCTATGTAACAGTAGACATATTTGATGTGACATATTTGAGGGATACTTATTGTAAATACTGCATAGTTCTACTCGAGGGTTGACATTCCGATTGTGCAATTAGAAAAAGAAGTTTTCCACTCCAAACTAAAAACGAACTATACGAACGTTTTTTGGAAAATGGAAATGGAAAATTTATTTATAGAGTACGAAAGTAAATTGTTCTAGTAATTGTAGATAAAATGTAAAACGTAATCCTAATTTTTTTCAAAGTGACTTCTTGTATTCGTTAACGCTGCTAAGCAACAACAAAGCGCAACTGAAATAAGATGACAAGTGCAAACTGTAACTAAAAATGCGATACTCTTTTGTCAGAGGGGTATTTCTATCACTTTATTTGTACCTACTTTAAATCAAATTTACTTTTTTTTCAGTCAATAGTATATGCAGCAATGGAGGATCCCCGGGAGTATGTAAAAGCATCGCGCAATGCCCACTAGGCATCGAAGCCTTAAGAAAATACCGCAAGCATAACTTAAAACGATGCATGTTTGATGGGTTTGACGAAATTGTGTGCTGTCCAACTACTGATTATAGAGGACCAGATACTCTTGAACCTTTTACCGACAATGGTTCAGGTGAAAGTACCCCATCAACTGGTACAAAGGGACAATTTCCTAATAAACGAAAATCCCAGACAGGTAAATGTAGATCGGACACATCGCCGTTCCGGTAAAACAATGACGCAAGTGCAAAATTGTGACATTTTGATTTTAACATGTCATTAGTTCCCAAATTAGTCTCTCTATACGGTATAACAATGGCGACATTTTTTATCCACTCGCGGCCATCTAAATGGTAGTTACTTCAATTTTCAAATATTAATGTTTGTCCCTCCACTTTTGAAAAACAATGACATATGAATCAGTTGTGTCTGCAAGTTTAAGGGAGACATTAGTTACTCCATGGTTAAATGTTGTATTTGCTATTTAGGACAAGTTCTTTGTGATTTATGTGCTCAAATTTGAAAGTAATAATATTCGTTTTTCGTCTCTCCTGAAAAATTTATAATTTTGCATTTGCGTCATTGTTTTACCGGAACAGCGACATGTTTATTTTATTAATGGATACATAGAGGTTTTTAACCATAATAACAGGGTTTCCGAAAATTCCTTGTACATAGAGCTACTGTATATTTGTGAGATCAAAATAAGTCGATTGAGCCAAAATTACCTATATCACAAATTTCTTCGTTCGCCTAGGAGGAAGTTTTAAAGTTGAAAGAAAATTTTAATTTTTTTTAATAGCTCAAAAACGCTTCTTTCGATTTTTATAAAATTTAGTATGTATCTATTTTAATTGAAGTGCCATTGTTCGAAGCAAAAATTACACCAACTGAAAACATGGAAGGTTAAAAACTACCCTATTTTTTTATGGAGGGGTGTATTGATTTGTAGCACTTTTGTCCCTTGCAAAAAACATGTATCTCTCATGATATTTGAGTATTTTATGATTAGTGACTTAAAATTTTAAAGAAAACTAAGTTGGTGATTAAAACTACCTCAACCCGAACGCTGTCGATGTTAACGTTATACGCCATTTTAGTGATGATGTAGTTATCGTTCCACTGACAATTAAAGTGACAGTAGATATTTTGAGAGCGTTTTGTTCGCTTTGTTTACCTAAATTATATCGTTTTTTCACTTTTATATATTCCTAGGGTAAATAAATAACGTGCATCAAATATACAATCGTTTAGTTACCAATTACATTACTTTAAACTATTTTTTATAACCTTCAAACAATATTTAGAAAAAAACTAAAAACAGTAAAAACGTATATGTCAGATTTATTGATGTTTTTGTTAAAAGTTTGGTTAGAATTAAATGTCAGTGGAACCAAAATGACATCACATTATACTAGCGTATTACAATAAAAAAAAATCATCAATAGCCATAGGTATCTACTGAAAAATAACAATTCAAAGAGAAGGGTACATTTTTTTACAATAAATGTTCAATATGGCCACGTCCTTCGTTCATACAGAATTCAATTCAGCTCAATAATGCTCAAAATGCCTAGATCATTTCGTATAGAGTTCACAACATTTTGAATCTTACCCCATAATTGTTTAATGTTGTCGAAGTGACTCCAGATAAAATAATCACAAGGATTACAGTCCGGTGATCGAGGTGGACACTGAATAGGAGCATCCCGACCTCTGCCAATCCATCTTCCATGGTATTGTTCGATTAATTACTCTCTCTCTCTCAATGCGGGAAAAATGAGATGGTGCAACACGTGCATGAAAAACATGTCACGGTGTAAATTGTCTTCTAAAAGTTGAGGCAAATCTTGACGTAGAAAATGCAAGTAACTGTCGCCATTAAGACGATCTATCAATCTAAATGGACTAATTAAGTATGTGTCAATAATACCCACCCATACATTAATTTTAAACTCTCTTTGAAAATGTTTCTCTTTAATGGCATGTAGATCTCTGCGTAAACATGTTCGTTATGTCCATTTGTTATACCACGTCGTGTAAAGCATCACTCGTCTGTAAACAAAATTTTTATGAGAAAAACTGGATCGGCCGCTCTGCGCTCTTGATGTACATGTACAAAATGCAAACGAGACTCATAATCAGGAGGTAGGAGTTCCTAGACACTTTAAATGTGAAAGGGATAATAAATAAGTTGCTCTCTAATTATTCTGTTGAATGTACTTTTTGAAACCCTAGTTTGGCGTGCCAGTCGCCGGGTACTAATTCCGGGATTACTTTCAACTATTTCAAGTATTCCCTACTCTGCAGCAGAAGTTCTGGCTTGACGAGGTCCAGCATTATTTCTGTTCGATTTCAGTTGACCAGTTTCTGGAAGTCGCCTCTCGATAGAAGCAAAAGTCGGGTTATTCGGAATCTTTTGATTTGGAAATCTTTCATGGTATACCCGAACACTCTCACGACAGTTGCCATTTCGGAAACCAAGCACTAGCAACATATCAGTTTGTTCATTAAATGTGCATTCCAAACTAGCCACAAAAGTTTAAAATAACTCATTCACAAAACTTTGAAGCGAAAGAAAAAATACAATACATAAAATAAGTATCGATCATGATGAAAAAAACAGAGGTTGATACGAAATCTCGTCGAGTTCACGCATGACGTATTGCGGTGTAGAATATGGTTATCTGATTGGCCATTAGCATATTAAAATTTATTTTCGCGCTATTTTGATCAGCTAATACGTCAAATTCGTAAAAGCCACGCCTTACACCACATTACGTTACATTATCTAAGATAGACTCGCCCTTTACACTGTATTAAGCTACGATTACACTGCAAGCGAATTCGCGCGAACTATAGTTCGCAGGTATATGTGCGAATTCGGGCGAACAAGAAGTGGTTTCTGCAGGGTTATTCTACTAAATTTATAGCCCGGCTACAAGTTGGATTTTGAAGTTAGGAACATATAAAGTTCATGCCAAAATCCAACTTGTAGCCGGGCTATAAATTTAGTAGAATAACCCTGCTGGTTCAGATTCGTTATACGAAATTCATAGCGATTTTATGTACAATAACGGACGCAAGTGCGGTGTGTGTTCTATTTTGGATGTTAAAGAAGAATTTTATTTAGCAGAAAGTGTAGTACCGAAACTGCTTTCATTTCGAAAAAGAAAGAGACAGTTCTGGGTTAACGAAATTGTCTGGATTTATCCCTATTATGGTACTCTTTAAATTTTTGATCCCACAGTGCCCTTCTGTCAAACACAAGTAGGATTAATTTCTCATTATCCATATTATTTAGGAGTGCTTATCAAAATTTGGATGATAAATTACCGCAAATACATGTATAGAAAATCACGCCATTCTATGCAGTTCGCGCGAAAAAAACAAATCCGTTTGAACTTCTAGCGACTAATAGCGATTCAAGCGACTAATTTTCTGGTATTGTAACCATACACATTTCGTTACATTGGTTTGTTTGTTCGCCCGAATTCGGACGTATATGCACGAACTATGGTTCGCGCGAATTCGCTTGCACTGTAACCATAGCCTACCCAATACACCTTCTGTCCGCATGATATACCAGACGGGGAAAGGGGTGTCGCACATAACCGTAGTGTTTCGGGAGGGTTTATTTAGATTTAAAAAAAATATTTATTGATCAAATCTTAATGACATTTACACGTTCTATAGGCCTTCCAAATCAGAGGTAAATTTAACATTCTTATTACAAATAGTTTGGCACACTACACATTTCCCCACCATCCTATATGTCCATATTAATCAGTTCAAAGTTCAAATTATTCTCGAAAATCTCAAAAAACTACAAAAAAAGCATAAATAACGTTTAGTTGTCATTTGACGCCGTCAACAAAATGTCTTAGGTTACCAAACTTAAAGGTTATTAACCAGAATATTCAATATCCACATACGATAAACGTGTAAAATACGAAAAAACAAATCCTAAGCGATTGTATTAAAAAGAATCTCATATTTATGCTTTTAATTCTTTATTTCTATTTTTTTAATAGATTATATTAAAAGGAAGAGTAAATTTTTAAATGCAGGATAGTTGATGGAAGAGATCTGACAACATAGGAAGAGCGTACTGTCAAAAATATGTTGCGGACAAATGTAATGTAAACAAGGCGTATCTATTATCCAATATCTTTGAGTTCTACACCAAATTTGTCAAAATTGTCAAATTTTTTATTAGTAACGTTGACAACCGTTGACAACTTAGTTTCCTTGAAAATTTAAAAGTCTCTAACCATCTATTTGAATTGTTATTTTTCAGTCGATACCTATGCCAATTGATGATGTTTTTTATTAACCCTCAGTCCATAATTTTTTTTTTTACTCAGATACCATGAGAGATACCTGTTTCTGCCATAGACAAAAAATGCTACAAATGAATACAACTCTCCATAAAAAAATTGAGGCAGCAGGGGCGGCCCTCAAAAACAAATACGGTGTCATGTTTGGTAGGATTAGGGTAGTTTTTACCCTTTCGTGATATCAGTTGATGTAATTTTTGCTTTGAACAATGGCTCTTCAATTAAAATAGCTACATACCAAATTTTATAGAAATAGAACGAAGCGTTTTTGAGTTATTTAAAAAAATTCTCTCAATTTTGAAGCTTCCTCACAGGCAAACGAAGCACTTTGTGATGTAGGTAATTTTGGCTCAATAGACTTATTTTGATCTCACCAACATACAGTAGCTCTATATACACGGAATTTTGGGATATCCTGTATATTCTACTTATTCTAGTATTATGATAAATCAATTACCTACTCATCTTCTTTTTTTAGCTTGTGATAATATAGAGACTGAATTGAAATCAAATATTAGATTTCTTATTACTGACGGCGAAGATGCTGAGCAAAAAGAATTTCCACACATGGTAAGAAATTTAAAATAACAATAGACAACAAAAATATCGTTTACTGTTGATGACACTTAGTATATCAGTAACCAATTGACTCAACATATATAACTTTCCAATGTTGAGTAATATCCAATGTCATACTATACAGATTCTGATATTTTGATTCAAAATTGGCGACCGTGGTATGGGTCGGGAACACTGAAAAGGTATCTATAGAGACTGTTTACAATAACTATACCGCTGAAGTAAGGTTGACTATGATGGAAAACGTTTTAGAAACCATAGAAAAAAAGGGCAGAAACCTCTGGTGATAGTTTACAAGAAGTATGCATGCTGGAGGAAGAAATCTGCAAACCGAGGAACCCCGATCTCTGCAGACTGTCTACAAATAGTGTATAGGTATTAAAAAAGGAATCCAAGCTTGCAGCTTCAACGTAACCCAACGGCTCCCTATCAAAGCAGAGGCCATCCGGTTCGCTGCTTACTATTGCCGCGTTTGAATATCCACATCCGATACATTTTGTACATCTCGAGCGTTTTTATCCACATCGGAAACATCTACATTTACATCTGCGTTTGTTTATCCGAGACACAGTTTATAGCTAAAGAAGCAGTTCGCTCACTCTGCGTCGGCACTTTTGATCTCAATGTTCCTGTTTATACACTGCGCAACTCAGATTGGTATCCCTGGCGCATACAGAATCAAAGCATAACCAATACAATATAAGACAATCGCCTATATTCAAACAGCAGTCTTCTGCGCATCCTGAATTTGTATCCCTGGAGTGGATGTTTTGTCAATTTATCCTTTGTTTATCTAGCATGAATAAAAAAGTGATTAATAATTTTTTTAAATTTTTGTTTAGTTTTCAAATTTAGGTTGATTTGTAGTCTCAAAATTCAAATTTAAAAAGTATAAACTTCTAACTTGTCATTGTCATTTTATCACGTGACCAATAAAGTCTAGAGCGTTTGTTTATTACATCTACATTCAGATCTAATTCTCATGTGATAAAAAATTCACAACATCTCAGATGCATCCGATGTGGATATTCAAACGCGGCATATAGCCACCCATCTTCATCTTGAATCAGAATATGTAAAACGACATTTAAAAAACCCGTTATGTTCTTCTTTTATAGGCAGCTCTCGGTTTCGATGGTGACGATAATACAGTGGACTGGAGATGTGGAGCTTGTATAATTTCCAATAATTTCCTTCTGACAGCTGCACATTGCGTCATCAGAACGCCGCCTGTGAAAGCTCGAGTCGGGATAACTTGGATGAACGATTCAAACCCTATAGACATCAATGTTAAAAATATTACCATGTATTCTGGATACGATCCTCTGTCGAAACACGGAGATATCGCACTAGTAGAGCTTTCCAAACGAATTACTTTTAATGATAAAGCAAAACCTGCCTGCCTCTATGTTGACCATGATGATCCGTTGGGACTTATCGTCACGGGTTGGGGAAAAACGTCTATAAGTAAGACATTTTACTTAAGTTTGTAACACTGACACATGAGATATATCTTTTAAAGCCTAACGGAGCCGAGTTATTCAACCAATTTACCTATTAGACCTGTATCTTTTTTAGATAACGAAGACGATAGGAGCAATATTTTACAAAAAGCAAAATTGGTTGCTGTACCGGTAGATAAGTGTAATGCTACTTATGTTCAACGATCGTATGGTACACGAAGCATCGAATCAACACAGATTTGCGCTTGGGGCAATTCAAGTGATGCATGTTGGGTAAGTTTTTCTTTATTGTTGTCTTAAATTCATATAAAATATTTTCCTTCTAGGGTGATTCCGGAGGCCCTTTGCAAATCAGGCAAAAATCGGGTGTGTTCTCAATTGTTGGAGTCGTTTCTTACGGAGCTGGGTGTGGAGGAAAAATTCCTGGTGTCTATACCAGAGTTTCTAAATATATAGACTGGATTGAAAGAATTGTATGGCCGTGACAAAATAAATAAAATTAATAATAAATAGTAATTTTTGGAGTTGGTCAAATAAGTTCGAACAAAAAAGTTCGAATTTTCAAAAAAAAAATCAAAACTGCAAAAGTTCGAATGACAAAAGTTTGAAAGTGAGAAAAGATCGAAACCAAAAAAGATCCAAATTTAAAAATATGACTGAAATCGCATGATCGAAATGAGATGTGTTCGAAATCTCATAATTATGTTTTCTTAATTTTGACATATCAAGTGACATTTTTTGTGATCGCAGTAAGTATCAAAATCTACTTTACGCAACCAGTTGCATAATATTGAACATTATGAATCTGGTCTCTAAAACTTAATTGTCACCAGTTGCGAAAAGAAAACAAGTAAAAATAAACCTTTTGTTGATTTTAAAATCAATAATATACATAATTATTGAGAGTTTATATCAAAGAAGGGCAGGTTGACTTATAAAAAGAAATTGGTTAAACTTACAATCTAGTAATAATGTTCTGGTCTTTATATTCCATTCTAAATCAGCATAAAGTAATTGAAACGCAATACACGAAAAAATAACCCACTTTTTGAAAACTAAATAACTTTAATAAGCCATATTCGCTCCGTGCGCGACCGCGGCGCCAATTTGTTTTGATATTAATGGACTATTTCTGTGTATACTGACAAATACAATTTTTAATAGAATTCGTAATTAAAAAGTATATATGTTAGTTTTAATAAAAGTATATGGATTTGTAAAACAAGTAAAACATTAATTTATTGTTATTATATATTTTTAACGCTTAAATTAAAAAAAATTATGTATAATCAATGAAAATCAATAATAAAATATAGGCAGGCAACAGTATTTACTGGAAAATGTATGAGAAGTTGCCTAAGTCTAATAAGTTGTCATTGAAGAATTAGCCTGTTCTGTCAAAATAAAAAAATACCATTTAATATAGCATGAAGTTCAAATGTATAAAAAAAGGATCGCTATTTATATTTTCATTTTTGTTCGAAAGAAAACATAGAATGAATTATTAAAACTGGTTTCTCATCAGTAAGTCACAAAATTACATTCCATTCACATATAATAATCAAAGGCAGAAATCTTGAAATCCAGTCCTTGCTGAATGAACATTTAAGAATAAAGGGACATTAAAGAACATCGTAAAATGATAATTTATTGTTTATTTAAAACCTTTCAAGTTTCTGATGTCTACTATTTACAGCATCACTGTTATTATTACAAAAATAAAGGTAATTTTTCTTCTTATTGTACATCTATCCATTTATTTCTTTGATTTAATTTCCACTTTGTTACGGAAATTTTTTATATAAGTTTCACAGTTTTTTTTTTGCTAGATTTGTACAATTGTCAACACAGCAACTCCGGTCGCTTATTGTATTGTTTGTACCTACTTTTTTGAAAAAAGTAAAATGTATACGTGTATTTGATATGCAAAAATTACAAAATATCGCCCTAAAATGCACGAATTATCCGCAGCTAGCGCTAGTATCGCTTTTGCTTCCCTTTCCATGACTTCGCACGGAGCGAATAAACACTACAAGCAGTTGATAATAAATAATGAATATTATATTTGTCAATAAAATGATGCTTATGCAACTAACAAAACAAGAAAGTAGTAATATTAATTGCCTAGATGTCAGTACCCAGTAAACCACAAATAGTCGGCATTCGCTCGGTCTGATACCGGCATTTACGGGAAGCCGAGTACTCGGATTGCCGTTGTCGGCGTTTCTTCGGAGTCGGGAGGACCGTACAATTTGACGTAATTTAGAAGTAGAAACCGCATATGGTCCATATTTGGCGTTCTAAACATGGGAGACTCCTTACGGGCCGAATGCGGTGAATAATTGGCTAGACGAGCATGGGAGACATTGTTACGGGCCGAATTATATATAGATATATGAACGCGGCTACAATTTAGTGGGCTACCGACATTCGGCTGGGCGGACCATCCCTACCTATATGCCGAAGCTGCACCCGTATATCGGGCCGAGTCCGGCAAGCCTCCTTCGGCCCAGTTACGGTGCCGAAAAACTCTGTTTATTGGCTAATTTCTTACCAAAACACAATTTGATAAATAATCTAGTCAAAATTAGAAAAATTATTGTATGTAACACGTTACGAAATGCCGTTTTATGTAATTCGTTTATGTTGCAGGACCTCGCACTCTGCTCGTCCCACAAATATTCACTCGTTACATAAAATAAGGCATTTCGTTACTAGTTTTATAAATAGCTATTGAAAATAGGTACTAATGATCGAAATGGTATAAGATCGAAAGCATTATATTACGAAATAAGTAAATTATTCGTTTTTTTATTTTCAAATTATATATGTATAAGCAACTCGCGATGGTTAATTACATTTTTGTTTTTTTTTGTAAAATAGAAATATTTTCCTATTATTCTAATTAAAAAGAAAACTTAACCTGTGCGGCCTGGAGCCATCTCGGGTTGCTTCGCAAAAAACTTATACACAAGATGAAAAAAAAATTACAAAGAAACATTTAAATTAATAATTTTATGACATAATGCTTTCGATCTTATATCAGTTCGATCATTAACAGTTTTAAATATATGAATTTGACAATCTGGAATTTTGACCATATATACGATTTCGATCAATTTTTATTTCGACCTTTTCTTACTTTTGGCTTTACAAACTTTTTCAGTTTCGAACGTTTGCATTAACGAAGTTTTTTATTCGATCTTTTGTGTTTCCGATGTTTTGTCATTCGATTTTTGTCTTGGAAATTTTGTCATACAACATTTTTTAAGTCGAACTTGTTATTTGAATATATTTCACAAACTCGTTTTTGATTTGCTGAATATCATTTATGTTAAAGGCTTTGGCAATCATAGTACAAAGTAAAAGACCAACAGAAAAAAGAAGTGGAAAGTGATAGTTTACGTTGTCATTTGTCATCTGTTGAGTGCTAAAAATAAATATTTTTGTGATATTTTTTTAAAAACTAGTTTCTTGAAGTGGTAGATTAATTTTAGGGGAAAATATGCTTTGTCCTCAATGCAATTCAACGCTAGTTTTAAAACAAATTAATTTCACGGAAGCAGTCTACATATGTATAAATCAATCGTGCAGTTATCCCACTAAAAATAGTCAGTGCTATGTAGTCCAAAGAAAGTTAGTAGATTTAAAGAAATTTAATAAAAATGCCAAACAACAAAACGTTGCAGCAACTCCTCCTCACGATGGTAATAAGGACCAAGATTTCGATATAGATTCGCTAATTTCAAGCGCTTTAATGAATTTAGATTCCAGTTCGACTCTAGAACAAAACGTAAATGATAATTGTTTACCGGAATTGAAAAATGATAATTTAGGTATATATGATAAGAATGTGAGTGATGAGATTGACTTAGAAGAAATATTCAACAGCTTGGATAACAGCTAGAAGATCACGAGGGAATAAAAAGAAAGGTGGGATTAAAGTGAGCATAAACAAGGAGATATTGGGGAAAAGAGCATTGTATTTTAAAATTCACTCCATAACAGTTTATTTATTTTGGCATGCTAAATAAACACTGTTTAGCCTGTTATTGTTTTACTAACCTTTACTTTTTACACTAAATGGCTGTTCTAAAATCAAAAGAGACTACATTGACATTGAGATGATTTTAAAATATTCTAAATTGCAAAAGATTGAAAAGATTATGTTTAGTTTTTCTATGGATTATGTATTCAAAGTATGGCAACGTCGCTTAGAGATTATTAGTGATCTACTCACTAGATATCTCGTGCTACGTTGCCATAATATATATTTTTGTTATGTACCAGATTTGTCTAAAAAAAAGGTATCAGATTTTCGAATTAATTGTGGTTTGGTTCATTGAGGAAACAAAATGGTTTTTAGCGAACGAAAACAAAACAAGGAGCAAGATCCAACAATATATTTTACAGGCGTCAAATGGTAACACGCTAAAAAAGGAAAAGGTACCAGATTCTTAGAAAATGTACTAGATCTAGTACAATTGTATTAGACTGGCAACACTGCTATATATACACATATGATACAGTATTGCCAAATAAATCGACGTGAAAGTATTTATTCCGAAATTATTTTATTTATGATGAAAAACACGAATAAAGTTTACTTTTTATATATATCGAATTTTCTTTTAAAGCTAAGATAACACGTCAAAAATTAATAATTTTAACTAGACAGAATAAAAGGTAGGGAATGAAACTAGCCTAGGCAGTAATCTGTTTATTTGCCTTACGTTAATCATTTAATTGTTCTTCGATTCTTTAGACATTGTGTTTAAAACAATAGGTAATTTCACAGCAATGAAAACTATTTGTAATTGATGACAATAAATTACTCGCAGTTAGACAAAATGATATGTGTGGTGCTTAAGTACAAATAGTACTCAGGTATTTGTGCTCTGAATAATTTTTATCTCAGAACTTTTGACTTGTATTAGTGATAATTCTATAACGAATATGTTAAAATGTTTTTGCACAAGAATATGGAATAAAGTAGCGGCCGAATTTACTTTAAAAAATATTTGGTAGGCCAACAATTTTCAATATAAACAAAACTAACCCCAGTAACCTTATAATAGTGCCATTCTACGGCAAATTAATTACTAACTACAAATGGTTTATATACACTATAAAAAATATAATTGCTAAATACAATTTGTCTAATTTCTACTGTTAAAATTACTTGAGTACTTTCAAAATGGTTTATTTTCATGATCTTCTTGCATTATAAGTTGAATTAAACAATAAAAAGTCATAATTTCTTATATGTTAAGTTTTAAAGCCTACTAATTAGTACCTGTTAATAGTGGTAATTCTGTAATTCAATACGTTTATTTTTAACGGGTGTTAAATTTTACGATTTTAACATAAATTGTAATTCTGTAAAAAATAAAATTAACGCATACGTTAAATTTACAGAAAAAATAAACATACGTTAAAAGTAGTTCAAATTTGCCATAAAAGTTTGGTTAAGTTTTAAGGTCTGTCAAATAAATGTCATTCCTCTTGTCATATTTATTGTATCTGTCTGTTTTTTGCACAAGAATATTGAAAAAAGTAGCGGCCGAATTTACTTTAAAAACTATTTGGTAGGCCATCAATTTTTAATATAAACAAAACGAACCCCAGTAACCTTATAATAATGCCCTTCTACGGCAAATCAATTACTAACTACGAAAAGTTTATATACACTATAAAAAACATAATTTCTAAATAGAATGTGTGTAATTTCAACTATTAAAATTACTTGAGTACTTTCAAAATGGTTAATTTTCATGATTTTCTTGCATTATAAATGGAATTAAACATTCACAAGTCATAATTTCTTATATGTTAAGTTTTAAAGCCTACTAATTAGTACCTGTTAATATCCTCGATTTAACGCATAAAATTAACACATTTATGTTAAATTTTTAACATATTTTTGCTTATTATAGAATAGATTTTTGCGGTACAAATGAACTATTATGTTAATTACGACAAGTTAAAATTTTTCATGAATTTACAAATTGCTTTTCATATTCGCTGTTGCTAGGTACAAGCTAAAGTGTACACAAATCAAAAAATTATATACACGCGAAACGTCATATTGCTGTGGTGGGAGGTGTTTGTGTGAATACGTGTTGTTTGTTTTCATTTACGCCGTGTCTAGCACCTAGCAGTAGTATTTTATAAACCTTAGAAACAAATTTCACATACATGAACAAATAATAATGCCGTGACAACAAGAAAATGAAGCAACGAATTCTCGTAGGGTGGCGCCCAGACAATACACCAAATCCCAGAGATATCCACAGAATATCTTTTGTGGATATCCAATATATCCTCAGGATATCAGAAATATTCCGTGGATCTAATATGGATATCCAAATGTCCGTCTATATCCAGAATATAGAAGATATCCTATGGATATTTAGCAAAATATCTAATTAGTATCTTCCAGACAATACAAGAAATCCCAGAGATATACACAGAATATATTTTTTGGATATCCAACCAAATGTCCGTCTATATCCTAGGAGATATTCAGCAAAATATTTTATAGGTATCTTTAGTAGACATTCATAAGTAACCAAATGATTATATTATTGAATAACGTCGAAAGAAAATAGAGATAAAAAATATTTCCAACAATCTGGCTTTGAGTTTGCCCACTAAGGAAAAAGTCATCCTTATTAGGACTCTTCAGCAATAAATGGAAATTCTCGACTCCAGTCTCTAATAGATTCTTAATGCGAAAAATTTTTCGATCAACTCGATTATGGCGGGTTGAGCATGAGTAGATACGAAAGTGGTATCGCCATCTATACTTAGGAAGCAAAATCAAAAATTACATCTAGTAAATATCCACGATGGTTTGCGTCCGCGCTAAGACTTTGATATATGTGGATGTCCATGGGATATTGAATACACCTTAAAAAAATTAATTTTAAATATCTGAACGGTACTATTAGCCACAATGGCAAGCACAATGGCGTAATTTTTTAATAATTTGCTATATAATTACTATTATTTATGGACATTTGCATGTCTATAAATTACATTTCATGGATATAAAATAGATATCCACCATGGACTGGACATTCAGTGGATATTGGGATGTTCAGTAGATATCCAAAGGATTTGGTGTGCTGTCTGGGCGGCTTCGCCGCCACCATTAAATTTCAATCCATACCTGGCTACGCCGACTGGCATGGACACAGCTCGCCTACTCTGTCAAGACGTTTCGCGTGTATATAACTTTTTGAATTGCGTACAAGTTAGCGTGTACCTATACACTGTGTTTCATCCCAGTATATATACCAATCAGTATTGGCACTCTGAGGCGGCACGTTTGATCTTTAAAAGTAGAAATTTTAGTTGACACTTGACGTTTTCGGGATATGAAAAGTTTTCTTTACACGGACTTGGTATACATGGTTAGTTGAATTTTTGTTCTGCTGCTTTTCAAATTCGTGTGTATGAGGGAGATGTGAGATACCTTTATAGACAACGGTTAGACAACTTAATTACTTTGAAGAAGCAAATAGATTAGATATCAGGGCAGTCTTCGCAAATGTAAGAAGGACAGAACCGTTTTAAATTTTTTTATATATGTGAAATATTACTTTTTGGTGAAAAGTTTAATTACTTTTAGTTCAAAATATAACGTTAGTTTGTCAAGGGAAATATATAAGACACAAGGTTAGAGTAACAAAATAGAGGTATTGCTTTATTTCTTAAGAATTACTCTAATCTAAAACTTTTCTAGTATATTGTAAAAATGTACTCTATACGTTATTTATAGGTACTGCAAAATCAATAGGAAAGTATGTAGTTTTAAATTTAAAAATTTGTAACGAAGACATATTTAGTGTAGTTTTTTTAAAAATATATACTCAGTGACTTGTTTTTGTGAATGAGTTCAAGTATGGCAGACTAAAATCGTTATTTTTTATTATGAATTAATTTGAATTTATTTTAAAATAGGAACTATATGTATATGGTTTTCGTAGTTTTTACACTTATGATAAAAATATCAAAGTCATGTATATTGGCCATTTACTACACACAGCAAATTCATAGACACAATACATATTACTATTTGACATTCTTGTAAAACCACTAATTTTAAATTGACTTTAAACTAAGTGACTACACACAGAATTGTTTAAAAGCAGCCATAAGGTATAATTTATTTATTGGATACTATAAAAAAATTAATAGTAATAGTATATAGAGTTAAGTAACAAGAAATTTAAGACCAAAAACAAAACAAACCTTTATATCTAGTGAACTTAATTTAGTACAGTCCTCAACTTTCTTAGGCTAACATTAAAGATATCTATTTGGATCTCGCTAAGAAACTCATTGGGAACAGCCATCATCTTGTTAAAAGGAGATATACTACTTGGATCTAAATCAAATAATTTTTTGTTACTTGGGTTTCTTGAGATTAATCTTTGCCGCATTAACATTTATATAGTCAATCAATTCACAATCTTTGTACTTAAAATAGAGTACAAAATATATCACAGCCTGTTGCTTTCTTCTTTGTAAAAGAGATTTAATCTTAAAACTATTGAGCATAGTTTCATACGAGATCTTAGGTATAAGGGTACAAGTATTTTTTATGACATAAAGGTACCGTAAAAATATTTTTTGTACTTTTTCAATATGATCAATTTGTGTGGCTTCCAAGGGCATCCTTATTTGTGAAACATACTCAAGATCGAGTCTTACTAAGGCATTATATAATCTAATTTTGGTGGAAATCCTAAATTTTTTTGTATTTCTGATTTAAGAACCTAATGCTTTTTTAGTTATGTGTAAAAAATGGTTATTGAACTTCAAATTAGACTGAAAGACAACTCCCAAATCCTTTACCTCATATTCACGATTTAATGTGACATCAGAAGTCTTATTTCTAATGTAAAACATTAAGAAGCTATGGAACCTTACAACTTAAAATAGACAGATAAAAAGTGTTGATTTTTATTTACAACTATAATAAGAACCCATTAAAAAGATTAAGAGCAATAGAACATTTCAACAAATTCCTATAGGTACCCATATTTTTGATACCTGATAATAAATAATATATTTTTTGGAGTAGCAACAGGTTTATTAATACACAACTATTATTTTGTTACAAATACTTATAATATTTATAATTAACATAATAGTTGATATAAGTCCTTTAAAAATAATATATTTTGATTTAATTGTTGAATTTATTCACAAGAAATTTTAATTGTAGCGTTGTTTACATTTTGCAGAGAAATATTGTATTCTGCTTTTAGCTGATAAATCATGTACATGTAAATGGGTTATGAATGTAGACAATGTTAATGTTTTTGCTACTACTGCTGGCTAGGAATGCTGGGCTGGGACACCAACAAAAAAAAAGGAAGCACAAAGCACTATGTTTTTATCACTTATACACGTACAATTTACAACCATTCAAGTAACTAGCATGTTGGAAATACTTCACGAAAACATATTAAACATAAATCAGTCGAAGGCAATGTATTTTCTTTTTATAACACACCGTTTTAGCTTGATTACTTTTAGTACTCTATTTATTCCAATGTCCTCAAATAAAACGAGCAATAATAAGGATAAAACACACACTGAAGTGTATTTGGGGTATTTTTGATCTAAATCCACTATCAAAATAACAAATTTTCCGTTTTTAAGCTGTGAATGTATTACAAAAACTACTTCGATAAAATGTAAACAAAAGTTTATATTTGTGTACGAAATATGGGTTGCCTGCGCATGGTAGCGAGTTTTTAACCGGATTTATGACAAGTGATAGGTTATATCCCGAAAACGTCAGCGCAGTAAAAGCTGCGCGTCTTTTTCCCGCCCAGGGAGTGTCATGGGCCTGGTTTCATATTTAACATACGTTATATTTTTAACGTCCGTTAAATTTTAACATATTCGTTATAGAATTACCACTAATGTAAGAAAATCATGAAAATTAACCATTTTGAAAGTACTCAAGTAATTTTAACAGTTAAAATTACACAAATTCTATTTAGAAATTATATTTTTATAGTGTATATAAACTTTTTGTAGTTAGTAATTGATTTGCCGTAGAAGGGCACTATTATAAGGTTACTGGAGTTAGTTTTGTTTATATTGAAAATTGATGACCTACCAAATAGTTTATAAAGTAAATTCGGCCGCTACTTTTTTCAATATTCTTAGGAATAACATAACCAAACTTTTATGGCAAATTTGAACTACTTTTAACGTATGTTTATTTTTTCTGTAAATTTAACGTATGCGTTAATTTTATTTTAACAGAATTACAATTTATGTTAAAATCGTAAAATTTAACACCCGTTAAAAATAAACCAATAAACGTATTGAATTACAGAATTACCACTAATACTGGTTAAAATTAGTATTTATATGTTTTTTATAAATCTGACAACACTGTTTCAAGATTGCTTGAAGAAAGATGAAATATGACATACGCTCTAGACTGTAATTACCTGTTTTAAAAATTAAAACGTATTTTGCAAACAGCCACCACGTGCATGATTGTTTTGGTTCAGTATTCTAAAAAAAAAACGTGATTATGTGCAATAATAATGTCGACAAACATTAGCAAACGCAATTCTGTGCCTTCACGTATTGTATCTCCTGAAGAAAAATTAGATGCAATACACAGAGTCCGAAATGGAGAAACCAAGGCGGCTGTAGCAAGAGATATTAACATTCCTGAATCTACCCTAAGAGGATGGTGTAAAAACCAAGATAAGATATCCTACCTATCGAAGAAGCCAGGAAGGGATGAATACCTAGAATCTAATAGTAAAATACCAAAATTGGATGCTGATTTTGATATAAAGTTGAAAGATTACAGTTATATGCCTGATAAAACGAATCTTGGTAAGACAAAAAACCAATTAATACTAAATACAAGTCCTATATTTACCAGTAGTGTGCCAGAAAGGAAAAAGAACAAGGTGGAACTCTCCAGACTTGGTATGGAACTGGGGTTGAATAATCCAGAAATGTTTTTACCCAATTTAAACAATTCTACAAATGATGCTACAAATAAGTTACTTCTGACTCACTGGAACACTCTATTGCTTCAACAAATGAAATATAAAACCGAAAATAATTCAATCTCAAATTATACTAATGATAATGTATTGGGAACCATAAATCAGACATCAATTTTATCAAAAATTTCAAATAATGACCAATTTCAGAATGGTTTAGTGCATCCTCCAGTCAGTAATAATGGTTTAATTTCTAAAAATGTGCCATCTGCTAATTTCAACATGAACAATGTAAATTGTGATAAAAATTTTTGGTTTTGGAACTGGTACCAGCAAACAGCTCATAATGAGCAACAAACAAAACCTATTTCATACCAACAACTTACAAAACAAGCACAAAAAAATGTTACATCCAATGACCAAAATGCAAGAAATCTATGTATTCGTGATATTAATAATAAGACTGAAATTAGATGTAGATCTGTTTTAGATAATTTATTTAATAATAGTAATTTGCCATCTAACAATGAAGAGACTGAAGAAAATACTCTAAGCCATCAAGAAGCCATCCAACATGGTGAGAAGTTTTTGAGATGGTTGGAAGCTCATAATGGACCATCATTTACTGCTGTACAGATAATGCAGTTTAAGACACTTCTCAACAATGTAAAAAGTGGTATTGACAAAAAGAAATGTGATATAGTTCATAAATCAAAGGCTAAGAGGAAGTAAATAATAAGTATTTGAATGTGACAAGGCTGTTTTAGCTGCAAACCAAATTTACTTTTCGATTTCCATCATGTTCCTATAAGAATTGATAGCCAATTTATCTTGTTATCAGGGTTGCCACCCTTTTGACAAGTGAAAAAAATGACAATGATGCTGACAGTAGTGAACTTCTAAAAAAAAGGTTGTCAAGCTGAAAGAAAGAAATCCTCCTCCTCATACTGAGCTTCTAAAAAAAGATCCTCAGCTTAATTCATTTTTGTACAAACCATGTCATGTCCCTTCCAACATTATGTACTGTCAGTAAAAAAGACATTTTTGTCTGGGGTAAAAGAGGACATTTGCCATAAAAAGGACATTTTAAGCTTAAAAAGTCACAAGGACATTTTGCTTCAAAAAAAGGACAGGTGGCAACCCTACTTGTTATAGTTATGCTCAACACTTTGTATAGATTTACTAAAATAATGATGATGTCTGTGTAAAATGAAATATGCTTTACTCATATTAGCAATTTTCAGCTAAAAATGTAATTGGACTGATTTTTTTGAATTTATTATTCCTAGACTTAAGTTACCATTTTCTTTTTGTATTACTCACAATGTGATATTTATTTTTGTAAAAAAAAAACGAATAAATTTTTAAAAACAATATATTTACATTATTTCACTGAATTGGTAACATACTTCAAATACAAATTTTATACAAAATACTTTAGGATGTTGCTTTTACAACTAAAACTAAAAAGAAAAAAAAAAGAAAGAAAAATATATATTAGAACTTTGTACGAAAATTATTTTCAGTAAAATTTACCTTAAATCCAATTATAAATACAACTCATCCCAAAAATTATTGCTTTTTAAACACTATGTTATTTTTTGGGATAATGAAGAAAATCGATTCTTGATATTAAAATTGTTTCAACTGCTGAATACTTTGGCAATGAAAAATAAATACCGAATAATAAATTAAACTTAAATTATTATTAATTTGTGAATTCAAATGGGATGAAAATGCATGCAATGATTTCAAAAAAGAAGTGTTAACTTTAGCACATAATTTCTACTCCTAGTACTACCCACCTTTATAAGGCGTAATATTAATATATATTTTTTGAAATCAGTGGCGTGCACAACAATTTTATATACTGCATAAATATCACAAAATGAAACTACAACAAAAAATTACACAGCATACAACCGTTGTTTTCATCTTAAGTACGGGCCTGTAAAAGCGGTTTTTTTAATCATAATGTGCATTTAGACAAAAGAATTGCTTGCCGAATGAAAATAGAGAAATCATTGTGATGATTAAGATAGGGTTCATTTAATAGGATCTAATTGCGGGTGGTACTGTGGCACATTCGCTCTTGTCTAAAGTGTGGTCAATCACTGATCTGTAAGTAATCGTAACTTTCCCGGTCTTTTCATCGACGTGCGTCAAAGTGTGTTTCCTCCAGTGGTCCTTCTCAGGTACCTGAAAAAAAAAACGTATTTTAAAATAAATTTTTATGTATTAATAAAGTTTCGATATATAATTTTCTGGAAAACGTTTGATATCTGTCACTTACAGTCAAAGTGTCATTTGTCACTAATATATGCCATTTGTCAATATTTTGTCATTTGTAGTTTATACATTGAAATATATTAAAAAAGATATTAAATATTGTATTTTTGGAACAATTAATGCTTTCTTACCCTCTGTTGTCCTTCCAATGGCTTGCTGTAATCAAATTCGTCGACACGAACTTTGTAGTCTTCTCTAGCATGAGCACCTCTAGATTCTTTACGATTTTCAGCACCGACTATTGTTTGTACAGCATTGATCATGAGATTTTGTAGTTCCAACGTTTCAACCAAATCTGAAACAAAAATAATCATAAAAATATCGAGTATATATAGACGAAATTTTAGTCAGTTACCTGAATTCCAAATCAAGCTACTGTCGGCAACCTTAAGATCGGAAAGTTTTCCATAGAGATCGTTCATCTTGTGCACGCCCTCTTTCAATGATTCTTCAGTTCTGAATACAGCCGCGTGCGTCTGCATAGTTTTCTGCATTTGCAACCGCAGGTCAGCCGTATTTATCGTACCGTTAGCGTATCTGCACCAATCCAAATTAGCCACGGATTCTTCACCCGCATTCTAAAAATATTAATGATTAAAATAAAGTTTAAAATAAGCGTATTTTCTGCTGTTACTTCTTTAATACTGCCGATAGCTTCGCCAGGTTTATTTTCATCGGCGATCGTGAGTGCACAAGCACGTCCGAAAACGACCAAATCCAGCAATGAATTAGCACCCAAGCGATTAGCACCGTGTACAGAAGAAGACGCAGCTTCTCCGCATGCATATAGTCCAGGAACCACTTTATCTTGTCCGTTTGGCGAGGTCAATACCTATACGAATGTACTTTAATATGAATTCTCGTAAATTTTCCATTTATTCAAATACCTGACCCTTGTAGTTAGTCGGTACGCCGCCCATGTTGTAATGGACAGTCGGTAATACAGGAATCGGCTCTCTAGTGACGTCCACTCCGGCGAAAATCATGGCAGTTTCGGAGATACCAGGCAGCCTCTGAGCCAGTTGTTCGGAAGGCAAGTGGTGCAATTGCAGGTACACGTGGTCCTTATCCGGTCCGCAACCGCGACCTTACCAAGAACAAACGAATACTACATGACGTCATTTCTGACAAGTGACAAGCATAGCGCCTCTGATAATTTAGTTTGAAACATTTGTTTTATAATTAAATCAACGCCTTCTTACAGATAAAATTTTGTTTGGAAAACTCATAGAACAAGCATAATAGATATAAAGCAAAGCATGATATTTTTATAATTCTGAGCATCATTGTATCTCACCTTCTCTAATTTCGATAGTCATACTTCTAGAAACGACATCTCTGGAGGCTAAATCTTTGGCCACGGGTGCGTACCGTTCCATGAAACGTTCACCTTGTGAATTTATGAGATAACCACCTTCGCCTCTACAACCTTCAGTTATTAAACAACCAGCGCCATAGATGCCAGTCGGATGAAACTATATTGGTAAAAATGTAGAAAAATACGAGATAAAGTAATTATTTTATTAGCTTGCGAGTAAAGTAATTACCTGTACAAATTCAAGATCTTGATTCGGCAATCCTGCTCTAGTTACCATAGCCGTACCGTCACCGGTACAAGTGTGAGCAGAGGTACAAGAAAAGTATGCTCTACCGTATCCTCCAGTAGCTAAAATCTGTAAATAAGGTTAAAAACCGTCACATATCAACAAATAATCATTATAATATATAAACTTACAGTATTCTTAGACCTAAACCGGTGCAGAGTACCATCTTCTAGACAAAGAGCAATCACTCCCCTGCATTCTCCACCCTCCATAATCAAATCCAACGCGAAATACTCAACGAAATAATTACAATCGTATCTCAAACTTTGTCCGTACAAAGTGTGGAGCAAACTGTGACCTGTCCTATCAGCTACGCAACAGCACCTTGAAATAGAAGAGTAAAGACCCAAATAAGCATTTTTTCGTAACTTACTATCATCTTCAAGACAAGATAAACATTTTAGCCGATTTTTGGCATTTTTATTACCTATGAGCTTGACCTCCTTTGCCGAACTTCAAAGACTGGCCACCGAAGGCTCGTTGGTAGATTTTTCCCTCTTGAGTACGAGAAAACGGCATGCCGGCGTTTTCCAGCTCAATGACGGCCTTGGGGGCTTCCCTAGTCATGTAGTGAATGGCGTCTTGATCTCCTAGCCAATCGGAGCCTTTCACTGTGTCGTACATGTGCCATTGCCAGTTATCTTCTTCCATGTTGCCTTTGAATAGGGTTAAATTAATTACATTTTAAATTAACGTGTAAGAGGCCTATTAAAATACGTTAATTGATTATAAATATTGACTTTAAGTTGTGCTGGCTAAATATTCTCATTCACATAATATGCAAATAAGATCATGTAAAAGGGGGTTAACTATGCAAGGAATAAAAGCAGAAATACAAAAGATGCCATTTTGGACTACTTGAACAATTCGACCGAGGATTTGACATCTATCTCTTGAAGGTTGAAATTTTTAAGGATATTTTGTAAATGGTACTTGAGGTTAAGATAAAACATCTAAAGAACAATTAAAGAAAAAATTTGTTGGCATCTCATGTTCTCTAATGAAAAGACGATGTAAAATATTAAGCGAAGTAAATATTAACATACTTCTTAGTTTTATTTTGAAAATTTCCTACTTATTTAAAAAAATATTTATCTATCTGGTTTATTTATTTAATATCAATTTTGATTTAATTTGTGGTAAAATATACAGCTATTCCTTTAAAAACGCATTTTTTAACTTTTTCTAGTCGATTTATTTTTATTAATGTTAAATATTAATTTTAAAAAAATGTAGATAAAATATTTTATAGTCAGCATTTTGGGCGGGCGCCGACTCTGTGCTACTATCTCAATGTAGGAACTAATCAAAAATGACGGCGCCCTATCGCCCGCCTCTAATTCGCGATGTATGTAGGAGTGCATTTAGAAACCTTGCAGGGCGCCTCTGACCACATACATTAAAATAGGGTCCAGACGTGCCATGCAAGGTTTCTAAACGCACTCTTGTATATTATAGAAGTATGTGCTGTTGTGAAGGCCAAATAAAAATAATAAAGAAGTAGGCTTGAAAAAATATTAAAAATATTTGAAAACTTTTTTAGAATGATTTTTTTAATCCCTCTTTTTTTTTCTTGTTGGCTCCCATCAACTCTGTTTCTGTTAATAGGCATTAAAATGGGGAATAAAGTTTATCTAAATACCAAATAATGGAATGTTTTCAGTAATTATGTATAATCATTAAAATGATTAATTAAAGAAAAAGTTTCTCCAAATCATTAGTAATAATGTATGTGTTTACAAATTTTCCAGTTTTATCAAAGAATGTTACTCATAATGTGCACACAAAATATTATAAATATTTTAGATTTGACTGACACTGATTGGTGTTAAGGTTATAATATGTTTTGTTTGGTATTTTTAAATTTTTTCATAAACAAAGGTGCACATTGGATTATTTTTTGAATATATTACAGAATCATTAGCATTCAATTTAAATACACTATTGTTATTTCAAAAAAATATTAAATAGGGCCATCCTGAATTATACAAAAGATAAGTAGGTATGTAGGTACATTAAGTTTTCCATAAAACTGATTAAAAATATTGGGTTATTTTTTTTCCAACCTTCTGAATATACCTTCATTATTTTTATAGATATATTGTTAATCAAAAACTGAAAAATATATATAATAAATGTTATATAGTAAAATATCCTAATCCTCCAAATTTATCATTTTTAATAATCTTATTTACACTAATAAAGCTATTTAAGTACAAAAATGGTGTTAATTTACTTAAATTGAAATTGCTTTATGTGGGAAGAAAATTGTTACAAAATTTGTATTTCAAAAGCTGAAATAAAACGCATCAATAATTGATGAAACTTACCTAATGCTGCATTGATACCTCCTTGGGCAGCTACGGTATGGGACCTTGTTGGAAAAAGTTTAGTGATAACAGCAGTTTTGAAACCCTCTTGAACAAGCCCATATGCTGCCCTAAGACCGGCACCACCTGCTCCAACGACCACTGCATCGTAAGTGTGGTCTACTATGGGGTAAACTTTAGATACCGAGTCGGACACACTTGCATTTTTTCGATCTACTTGTAAATGCAAGTTTCTGCATGCCAACGGTTTTAGAAGATGGTTTAACTAGAATAATTCTCTTATCAGGTATTAAAATGATTAACAATGGTTTCATTAAACCATAAAATAGTTTATGACATGAGTTTTAATAATAGAATAAAAAATAATTATTTGTAAATGAGGGTGTTTAGTATTAAATAACTTTAAAATGTTAAACAGAAATAAACACTTTTATGATGAATACGTAACAATCACAAGATTGCTTAATTGACCAAATCCGTCCGAATTAAAAATAAACCATGAAATATGTTATTATTTTTTAAATTACACCTTTTAATTGCAGTTATGTAATAGTAAAAAATAGCTTACCTTTAACGAACTACCTACTAATTTCTTCACACAGTTCACCTGAATTTTTAGAATACTGCTCATTTCTTATATTTTATTAAAAATATTTTAAAATCTCAAAAACTTCAAGAAATCTCGGACTCGGTACTGTCACTTTTTTGGTTAAATGAAAAAGAAAAATAGATTTTCTTTGATCGATATATTTTCTTTAACGCCATCTAATGACTTGAAAAAATATCAATTAACAAATATAGTTTTAGTACTCGATAAGAGATGACTCTGAAATCTGAAACATTCTTTTTTACTCCATTGATCTTTTATTTTGATGATATTCAACCACCTCCATTTGGCTGTATGGTTAAGGCTATTCAAATAATAGAAGAAATAATCTTTAAAATATGGAATAGTAAGAGATCAATAGAAATAAGAAGATACTTAGTTTGACTCATTGATCTGGCAACGTAAGGATACGTCATATGTAATTATTTTTAATATACAAAATTGGGACCGGAAGGCGTGGCTTTTGCACTCACTAAAATGGCGGAAGAGCAGAACCGGATTTACAAGTTTTTATTGTACTATTTCTGGTTAAGTATCATTATTTGTACTATAAAAAATTAATTTCCTTTATTATAGATAAAAACTTACACATTGACTTAAAAGGTGGTGGAAGGCCAAGGTTACAAAAGAAGGGGGTCTAAAGATTTAAATATACCCGGTTTTCAGCCGAGAGGTGCTGAATAAAGTAAATGAAAGAAATAAAATATAAATGATTTAATTATCACTCAAGTGTGACTATTAAGTGCTGGAGAATATATTATTTGCAAAATTGCAACTAATCAATGATCATGATATAACTAATTTGGGGCCGATTCCACCATTTTAATCTTCAATTAGTTTGTTTAAACTTTAACACAATGGTGAAAATAATCCTAAAGCGTTAAAATCATTCACAGAAAAAATAAATAGCATTTTGGTTCACATAAGCGAAAAAAATAAAGCGAATTCGATTTATTGGATCAGTCGTAACACTTTTTCACTAGGGCACATACGTAGCACAGAACACTTACTCTATACGTAGCCCAATGCTTTCTGTTTCTATCTTTAAATCGGAAAGTAACCTTACTTTAATTAACAGCTTCCTCGAAATTAAGAACAAATGTTCATACACTAAAAGTTCGATAATCCGATACGAAACTTAATGCAAGGCTCGAGTAAAATGGCTAATAAACAATCTCTGTGTAGGTAGATGCACTATTCAGGAAATCAAAATGTAGATTAATTTTACTTGGTCTTGGTACTGCAAGACATTCAGTAAATCAGCGAAGCCACAACCAGCGATGTGCAGGTAGGTACAGATGCACTTCTAACAAATGTAAAATATGAAGTGATCTTACTTGAGACTTATAGATCCAGTGATAATAGTGATAATATGGTGGTTGGTTTGAGCTGGGCTTCTCACCATCTGCAGAGATTATGACTACTTATGTGAAGGCCTACCCTATGGTAGGCCACCACTCTTGTGGTGATGTTGTTACTATTAACAACATCACCACAAGAGTGTCTGTCCAATTTAATTGGTCTATGCACAATAATCATGCATGTATGATTGAAAGTCAGACAAAGAATGTGAAGATAAAGTTAAAGTCTCAATCATAGTTAAAGTCACAGATGAAGTTAAAAGTAAGAGTTGAAATTGTAGGCTGGTGATAAAGGGAGGCCAACATCTAGGTAATAAATGTTTGTCGAGTTAGGAAAAGTATCATCTGCTGTAAGCGCTTTTCTTAACAACTAAGGTAAAAACCAGAATATTTCATAATACACAATTCCTTCGCTAGGCAAAATAAGAAATAAATTTGTGAGAGTACTTCCCAAGTGTTTTTCAAAAGCTCTAAGAACAAAATTGATGAAAATGGCCTAAGCCAAGTTCAAATTCTAAAACTTGAATATTAAAGATAAGTAACTTACTGTAAAATAAGTAAAACCTCATTGTTGATTAAATGGTTGAATAATTCATTACCTGGAGGTAGAATAGTGACCAAAGTTTAACAGAAAAAGCCACTAGAAAAGGTGAACAAAACAGAATGGGGCATATAAAAGTCAAGCAAATATTGTAAATGCAAATAATGTGTGCTGTGATTAAATAAAAGTGTACAAAGAATAAAGTTTTAATATTTTCTTATCCATATCTATGAGTGATATCTGAAACACATTATAGGCAATTAAAAAGATCTATTAATATTGTTCTAAATTAACTATAATAAAACAAACGATACTCATGCATACACAAAATATGAAGCTCTACTTTTCAATCAGCTGTAGAACTAATATAAATAAAACTGGTGGAAGCAGCAAATGTAGGTTATATTTAAATAGAAATAAGAAAATAAAATGCCTATAAATTTGATAAACGACATGGCGTACAATTAATGTACTTTTCAAGAAAATGCTTGGAACATATACAGCTGAATTTAGAAGGTTCCCAATTATGCCTGTTGACAAAATATCCACGCGCTACGTTGTTCAGGATTTTCTGGAAATCTATAAATATTATTTCATATGAAAAAGTATTATTCCAATATAGGTAGGCCCAAAAGTTGATAGATGATATTTTTTTGGATTTTTAAAAGCATACTTTTACACATTTTATACAAACATGTCATAATACTGTCCTGTATAATATTTATAATTTTGATACTAACCTAAGAAACGTTATTCCAGTCGATTTTTTACAAAAACGACTGTCGCTAGACCAGGAACATATAACACAACAAGGCATTATAAACTTTATAAGTTTGTAACACTCAAAATTTGCTCAAATACAAATTAAATTCAAATTTATTAACACAAATGACACTAAAATATAACCTATAAAATTTGACAATTTGCACTAACAGTAATGGCGGACCGGTGCCACTTTCCGATTACGCATGTCGTATCCCTAGGTTGCCAGATCAATGGTTTGACTACTCGATAAAAGATGGCGCGAGTGAGTTCTTCGTTTTTATATTAGTCTCTAACTCTGACTTTCATTAGCAAATTCTTCAGTTTTAATACTCTCTTACCTAGCTTTAAAATAGAAACTTTGTAGCTTAAAGGCAATCTAGTAAAAGTCGTTAAAAAAAAAGAGTGATGTATAACGCCAGTGTCAGTATGACGCATAGAAAAACTAAAAAGAGAAGGTTTGAATAATAGGCGGGAATTGTTTCCTTGTTTGTAGTTTATCATATCGCGCTTCACGCGCTGCGAGCACTAAATAAAAGCCGTTTTTACACCCATATGATAATTAAAAAATGAATAAATTTTAAAGAAATCAATAATTTTACTAATGCAATCTTTTAAATATCACTTTAATACAATATAATGATCAAATACAGGGATAATTGTTATAAATTTATAAAGTTAAAGCTACATTTGAATATTATGAGGTGGTGTAAATCTGGCTTTGCTAATAAATTAGGTTATGTTACACTAAAACATGACAGTCGTGGAAAATGTAGGTGAGTAAAATTTAATTAATCTTATTTTTAATTTAGTTTTAGTTAAATTTAAGTAATTTATAGGTGTAAAAATATACTGAGGTCCTTAACTATGTCATTAACTTATAATAAATTCACATTATCATGTGCTGCTCCAAATTGCAGAAGCAAATATTATTTACATTCACTTAATAAGAAATTTTTTACTTTTCCGTCCATTATTACCCTTAGAGAGAAATGGTTTGATATTTTAAATATTCCCTACACATCTAAAAAAAACTATAGTGCGAGGATCATTTTGACGAGAATGCCTTCACCAGCACTTTGCCTACTAAGCTCATTAAATTTGCCTTGCCTTTAGCGCCTTTAGAAGAGAATATTACTACTAATAATAATATTACATTAGATGAAAATTTTTCAAAGCTACCTTCATCAAATTCTCTTGCAAAAATAAATGTAATTAGTAATGTTTTGATTAAACCTTCTGTTTTGAATATAACTTCAGCTAAAAGAAAGCTAGATTTTTTTAATGATAGAATTGAATGTGTTGAGGAATCTTTAATAAAGAAACTACGTGTAAGAACTGGTATTTTAAATCAAATTAATGCAACTACAATTGGTAATTTAACTCCTAGAAAGAGAAAATTTTATTATATTAATCGAGAGCAGCAAAACAAAATTTCAAAATTAAAAAATAGTTTATTAAAATCTAAAAATACAATTAAGACTGCTTTAAAATTATCAGAAACAAATTTATTTAAAAATTTTAGTTTAATTTTAAGATACACACTGCGCCTTTATTTTTTTTTGTTTTAGTTATTCCTGAGTATGGAGATTTTTGGAATGGATATTGCAACTACAATGAACCGAAATAGATGGGTGAAGGGATAGTAAAGTGGTTTAGTGCCAGAGTTACCTAACCAACAAAATTTCAAAACAACTGGTCTTTGTTATTGTTTTAAAATCATTTCTATACATGCCAAAGTTACCTATTCCTTAAAATTATGTAGTTCATGACAAAATTAAATACTTATTTGACAAGTGACTATTTTTAAATTTTTCTTAAACTTTGATCTCAACTTAATTAATTATTTTTTAGCAACTCTGGCACTGGAACACCCAATAGAGCTTAAGAATAATAAAAAAAATTTCAGGTAGTAAACTCCATTTATTTTTAATGTGTACTTTTTGTGATAATGTGTAATTTTGTGATATTAGGTAATTTTATAGATATAAAATAATATTAATAACAATAATAATCGTGATTAGTGTAAACGTATATTTTTAAATTAACTTCAACCCTTGAACATTTTTCAACATATTGTGAATATGATGTTTAATATAATGTAATGATATAGTTACCTATTCTAAATAAAATAAACTTATTACAAATGTTTTTATTTTTCATTTAAAACAAGTGACATTTTCCGTTTTTCAGCATTTACTTACAATAAAAATTCATTTTACTTATTGATTGTTTCAATTATTGTAAGTAAAAGCTGTAAAATAGGAAAATGTTACTTGAAATTACTTCAAATTTCATAAATTTTAAAGCCCGCCATTTTTTAAATCGCTTTACCTAGTAGTTTTCTACTTTACCGACTGTACCGAATTATAGTTCATCATAACGCGCTCAGCGCGCCACTGTCGAGGTCAAACAAACTTGTTACCAACTATTTACAGGGGAACTGGCTACCCTGGTATGACGTTTTCAGGACAAAATTTCATCATAAATAATAAATAAATAGATTGTGTTGTGTATGAATAATTGTTTCAATTAATTTTTGTTAAATTTATATTGATCCAAGATTTTTAAATTATGTATTTTTAAATACACGTGAGCAAATATATGCTCAATAATTTTAGGAATAAAATAAAGTATTTTATCAAAAAAGGGGGCCAAAATGAAAGCAGTGCTAATAAGTTTTATATTTGTTGTGTCTTGTTTAGGTGCAATTAACAAAGTAATTATTAATGTACATTTATAATTGTAACTATATATTAAAATATTTTTTATAGCATAAGACAATACACAACTTAAATTTAGGATTAGTACAAGGATATACAACAGATGATAGGCTGTTACTGTTTTCAACTTTAGATGGGACTTTGAGCGCCCTTGAACAGGATACCGGCAAAATTAGGTGGACTGTTAAAGAAAGTATGCCATTAATGTATTAAACATTTTCTTCTGCTACATTTTATAACATTTTTAGAGCCTATCGTCCAAGTGCCTTTAAATGTATCGAATGCCATTGTTCCTATATATTTGCCAGATCCCAGGGATGGATCTTTGTATTTAATAGGGGATGTTTCAAAACCCCTGAAAAAGCTACCTTTTACTATACCACAACTGGTATCTACATCACCCTGTAGAAGTTCAGATGGAATTCTGTATACAGGTAAATAAATTAAAATTGAAGTTTCTAGTTTTTATTGAGTTTGACCTCTTTTCATTTATTAAAAAAACTAAGCACGTAATGTTCATTACCAACTAAGCATACATATTTGTAGGGAAGTACTTAGGTACCACCAGGGCCGCCGAAAGCCAACACTGGCAATGGCCCGCCCTCCACATATTGTAATATATTTTTTTAAGCTGTCGGGCCCCCTATTGTAAACAAAAAATATTTGTTCCAGATCTTGTGCAAATTAATAATAACACAATTAATTTTTTTAAATAAAAATTTTTCCTAAAATGTCTAATCAAAGCTTAGATGGTACTTATCTCAGAGATGCTACTTTTAGGTGTCACACACTGTTGTCTTTTTGTCCAGAACGTATTATTAATTGTAAAATAGTACCTGTCATTTCTAATAATTTTCCTTGCTCTAACAATATTTTATACTATAATTAGGTATTGATGTTTTACCCACCCAGCACCCCTATTCTTTCCCTCTCATGTAAAATTGTTAATATTAATTGAAAAAATGGCAAATTTCTGTTTAAAAAAATTATTTGTGTACTTAAGTATTTTTTGTTTACAATAGTACTTAGATCTTATATTTTTCATAATCAAAAAAGGGGTCAAACTAGATATTTACCATTTTTAGGAAAGAAAAAAGACTCTTGGTTTAAATTGGACCCTACAAATGGTAGAAAGCAGCAAATTTTGGGATGGGATGATACTCCTACCTGTCCTGTAGACACAGAAAGTTTTATTTATATTGGTAGGACTCAATATACATTAAGAATGGTGGATGAAAAAAAACCTGACAATAAATGGAATGTAACTTTTTATGATTATACAGCTAGACAAATGGCTACAGAAAAGTGCTCTAGCTACCGTAAGTTTTGATAGGTACCTATTTACATTTTACAGTATATTAATTCTAATTTTATTTATGTCTATATAGAGGAATGCAGTGGTAATTATGGTAAGTCTGAATTTTACTTATTTTTCTTTTGACATGGCATTTTTTGATCCGGATACGCCCCCCTAGTTTAAATAATTTGCAATCCATAAACACATGGTTTAATTTTTTTTTCATTTACATAATGTTTTTTAAGTGTTTCGCGTTTTTATGTAGGCTTTCTTATCTCATTAATTTGTATTCAACATAAACTTGGTTAAATTTGATAAAAGTTTTATAAAAAATAATCAATCTTCAAGGTTATCCACAAAGCAAAGCAGAATGTTCAGTTTTTAAATTTATTTATTTTACACAAATTACTGGAGAATTATTGATTAAATTTCCAACTTTATTTTTAAAAGAATTCAATTTAAATAAAATTGTATTTTCCTACGACCACTTAGGAAAGCGACACATATCACACTATATAGTCCTATGGAAAGTGCCCTATATCACACGCGTATGAATAAGAATTTACTTTCCACCCGTATACGAATATGCTACTTTCCGCAGCAGCTGTCGCAAAATGTCAAACACATTATTTCTATTTTGATCTATGTAATATCCATATTAATACTAAAATCGATATGATTGTTAAATTATTGAAATTGTTGTAAATTAGATCCTAGATATTTATCTTTAACAATTATTATCAAAATAATTTTAAAATAACTAAGATATGTTTGCTTTTTATTCTGGTTAAACACATAACGGATTGGATCATTCAATTCACGCAAGGCCTATTAGCTCAGGTGGTTACAGTGTCAAACTTATCAACTTTGCCATTTGAGACCTGGCGAGCGACCGCGTTCAAATCCTGGCAGGGCCAGAATTTTTTTTTGTTTTTTAATTTTTTTTTTGTTTATAAAATATGAAAATTGAATAAATACGATTATTGTTAATTATTTTTTTAAATACATTTTAATTATTATAATAATAACCTGGTTTTACATTTTTTGATGAAATTATTTTGTGGTCGTAGGAAAAATATTATACATCACTTGTGTGGAAAGTGATTTTCCACACTCGTGTGATAGTCGCACTCGGCTTGTGCTTCGTGCGACAATATTTCCCACTCGTGTGAAAAATGTCACTTTCCACACTCGTAATGTAATATACTATTCTTGAATTACCAATTTATAGATAAAATCCACTTCACATCGGCCTCTACAGGGCAAATTATAACCCTAAATCAGCACACAGGTGATTTAATATGGGAAACTACCCTCAGTAGTCCCGTAATAGGGATTTATATTTTAGACAATGATGGCCTGCTGAATCTACCATTTACAGCTCTAGCGAATCACACCATTGATGATCTAAAAAATAATCTTGTAGAAAATGGTGGAATCTTGTTGAACACAAACCGTGTAAGATTATTGTAAGTTCAATGAAGTTGTCAGTTCCGTTATAAATTTGATAATTATTGAAACTATTTTTTTTAGTCCTACTTTGTATATTGGTCAGCATTCACATGGTTTGTTTGCTATACCATCGTTGGTAGACAAAAATCACGTCTCTGTAATTGGTACTGATACTGGTCTACTATTATTAGATGGACCCCACGGACACGATAATAAGGCAAACCATCAGTATCCCTTACCTGGATACAACTACTATCTTCCCAATGGTAAATAAAGTTATTGCAAAATATATTTATGATATCCTGGTTAATGGTGGATCAGATAATTTTTTGAATCATTTATCTCAGAAAATATGTTTTGTAACCAACATTTGACCCATACTGCTTTATTTAGGTATTTTAGTATTTTGATAACCCTTAGAGGATAATATTTAACTGAGAAATATTCAAAAATATTTTTTTAAATAGAGTTGCAGACTGATTGGATTGCTCTGTGGTCAACAATGGATCATATTGTTGAAAACAAGGCATTTTTATATTTAAAAAATTTATAATAATTACGGCGTCATACAAAATTCTAGACACACATTACACATTATCATAAAAAACATAATATGTAACAAATGTTGCTAGTAGAGATGGCTACAGACCAAAGTAGAAACGTCTGACATCAAGCAGACAAAAAAGATGCATTGTCTGTCTTACGCAAGCAAATTATTACACCACCCTATTCTTTTACACGCAAAACCTACCTGTAACGTGTGGAGGGTGGGTTACCCACCACGGCACGTAGGCCTCACTAGGTTCATTGTGCATCCTTCTAAGATAGTAGACACCTTCTAGCTCGTGAGCCAGTGTACAAATTTAATATAGTTGACAACGTCGCCAAGAGGTGCTTCTCTTATATCGGCCAGTTTTAGCCAATACTCGCCGAACACAAATCTTCTAATAAATGGGAGCATCGGGCAATCGTAGAGGATTTGCTCGATAGTCTTATCTTCTCGTTCGCGCCCCCTGCACATGTAATTCTAACTGGTTTCTCAAATACTCATAAGATACACTAAAACTCAATTATTGTATTACTAACGCTTGTGCGTTTTCATTAAATAATTATTGACTGATACATTATGTACACCACTGTTAACCAGATTTCCCTGTTGCACATTTTGTCTGATGAAAAATTAACTTTTGAAGGTGATTCTGGTGAAGATAATCACGTTTTGTTTCAAAGTTGTCCCAAATTCGGCAACCACATAAAAATCTATAAAGGTCATTATAAATTTCCAACGTACGGCAACCAGCAACTGTTGACGCCGAATAGAGATCTGATAGATTTTAAGGACGACAACGATAAAGATAACTCCAAAATTGTGTATCATAATTCGGATGACTACATAACGATCGGTGCAGAGAAAGATGAACGCAAAAGAACTTACACAGATTGGTATAAGGACAATTATAACGGTGTTAAATTGTGGATAAATCAACAAGAGAATAAAGGTCTTAAGATGTCACTCATAATCATGACTGGGTGCGTCATCGCCATGTTTTGGTACCTGCAAATACAGGTTAGTCACTATATTTGTTTTCTATTTATATATGGTACAAAATTCTATAATATTGCATACAAAAAAAAATTAATATTAAACTATAAGAAAAACAGTTACATTGAAAAAAGTTACATTTTTTATCACAATTTATATTGCTGTCAAATATGTTTAGATGGTCCATAGTTTTTTTTTATATATCTTGGAAACAAACAAAAAAGCAAAAAATTACATTCTAATAGTAAAAACTGGTCGGATCATAATACATCATATCATAGAATAAAAAAAAATACAGTTAATTTATTAAAATTTATGGGCCTGATAAACTTTGACAGAGCTTAGTAATGTGGTCTGTTTGAATGACGAATGACATGAACTTGCGCATTGTCTAAAGTTATGGTATTTAACAAGCATTATTGTGCCCTTGTGATAAAATTTATTGTAATCCCAAATACGAACAAGCTGTCTCTAGAATTACTTCCACATTCTCTGAAAAGACATACCCAGGCCTAGATACATTTCAGATTAGATGAAAGAAAACAAACAAATATTTATTTTTAAGGTACGAGAATTTCAAAATCAGTCGAGAAATAACTCTCAATCCAGTCAAAGTAATTTAGGCAATTTCATCGGTGTATCCGCGCTGCCTGAAGAACTACCTGACGGTACCGTAAAAATTGGGAAAATAACTTTCCACCCTGATCAATTACTTGGAAAAGGATGCGAAGGGACCTTCGTTTACAGGTAAAAACGTTTATATAAACACTTTCTTTGGTATACATTTTCACCATCTTTTTAGAGGAGAATTTGACAGTAGGAGAGTAGCTGTCAAACGCCTATTACCGGAATGCTTTACGTTTGCTGACAGAGAAGTTACGTTGTTGAGAGAAAGTGACGCTCATCCGAACGTCATTCGTTACTACTGCATGGAACGGTGTCGTATGTTCTGCTACATCGCCTTGGAGCTCTGCCAGGCGACACTCAGCGAATACATACATGGTACTTGCGATTTTTGTCCTATTGCTCCTTTAGAGATACTGCGACAAGCCACCGCTGGTTTGAAACACTTGCATTCTTTAGATATCGGTAAGTCCGTGTCCCTATAATCGCAGTAATTGTTATTTTCTATTAAACAATTTTCGTTGTAGTTCATAGAGACATCAAACCGCATAACGTGTTAATATCAGTACCAGATAATAAAGGCGGCGTACGAGTAATGATATCCGACTTTGGTCTATGTAAAAAATTGCAAGTAGGTAGAATGTCTTTCTCGAGAAGATCCGGCATCACCGGAACAGACGGCTGGATAGCTCCCGAAATGCTCAACAGAGAAAGAACTGTAAGTCAATTGTCAAACGTCAAATATCGACAAGTAAAACTTTTGTTTTATTTCAGACTTACGCTGTTGATTTGTTTTCATTAGGATGCCTTTATTATTATGTTCTGTCAAACGGTAAACATCCGTTTGGTGATAGTATTCGAAGACAGGCTAATATTTTGGCTGGAAAATACGATTTATCGGATTTAAAGGGATCTAACTGGCAGGTTCAGATTCAAATTACGCTAATTACCGCTTTAATTTCTGCCAAACCGGAAAGGAGACCGTCTTGTCAAGCTGTTTTGGAACATCCAGTTTTCTGGGATTACGACACTATTTTGATATTTTTCCAGGTAAGGAACTGTGAAATGTACAGGGTCAATCTTTTTTTAATGTATATAGAAGCCGTTAAATAAACATCTTTTTCAAATAACTCAAAAATAGGAAAGACAGAGTTAAAAAATCTTAATCCGTACCTGGACATATGTATGAAAAGTTAAGCTAAATAAGTGTTTTTGTTTTTATCTTTGGGCTACGAGTGTTTTGCGGAAACATCATGGAGGACAAGTGTGTTTGTGACAATTTTAAACACATTATTTAAGGGCATTCTTACTTTTTTCTAGACGGTACATTTCTAATTTTCATTTGGTAACATGTAACGCAGTGAAACCGACGTGAAGATATATTTTAGTTAAATAGATCAAAAGTTGACAAATTCGTTATTCACATGAACGTCGCTTGCTGATGTGCTGCAATCAACTGGTCTATTCGAATATTGGTTGGGACCGATGACAGTTGACGAGCTGGTTACTCTCAAGAACGTCGCTTTGTCAAATGCTGTAATTAACTGGTCTATTAGTGCCGCCTATTAGAGGGTATTTCTCTGTTTTCAGTTGCCGACGTATTTAAAGATTCTTCAGCTAGGTATGCTGTATTTTAAATTTTCGGTACGACTTACCGATTTAGCGTACCCAGAAAAATTATGTTATTGGATTTAAACGCAAGTTAAGTTCACTTTAAATTATTTTTAAATCTTCATATTTTATTACGAACAATTTGATGGGTGGCACAAAACTGTTGAAAAAAATCAAAATTCAACAATTTCAAAATAAAGTTATATTATTTGTTTGTGTATTCACATCAAATTAAACCAAACAACTGGTGCGATGTCATAAAAAATTCTCAATCAAAACGAAAAACTTTCAAGCGTTATCAGAAAAAGCACGTTTTAAAGCTTCTAAAGGAGCAAAATAGGGTATTTAGTTAAACGAAGCTTTAAAGTGTACTTTTTCAATAAATTTATTTTATGAAATCGATATAACATTTAAAGTGGCCTTTTAATATTGAAGTTTCCTTTAATTTGATTATGAAATTGGACCTTAGTATTCTAAGATTCATTTTGTTAAGTATATCACAATCTCATTATACCTAATTTCAAAAAGCTCAAAAAATATTTACACAAGGTCCATAAGAATGAAGAATCAGCAGATTTGTAACTTTCTTATGTAAAAATATCACGATTTAGCCAAACTTGACTATCCGAAAGTAGGTATTAAGCTTGTATTAAGCGACATATAGGGCAAAGGTACATTTTTTTACAGAAAGTCAATGGGACTGCCACTTAAGTGTAAAAACAACAAAAAATACGATTTTCAAATTAATTAAAAAAAAAATCCAAATAATTTTTTCAAGCACCCTGTATCTGACTTGAAATTTAGTCTACATAGATAAATTTAGCTACATTTTCATAGTTTTATGTAAATAATCTGTTGCTGTTCCGTGTCCCTTTCCTTTCGAGACAATGTATTTTTACTTTTAGAAATTTAACGGTGCCGAAAACTCCCTCTATCAAAATTATATAAAGAACAAAGTGATTTTGTTTTTTTATTTTTTAAAATTTTTGACCATTTTCAAATGAATTTTGTACCAAATATAAAGTAATTCAAAGTTCAAAAGTTTTTTGAGCAACAAAAAAGATTATACACACAGAAACACGTGCACTCATGGCGCCCAATTCCCAGGATCACTTCTTGTTGCTGGCCGCCGCGTCTTCATGACAAAAAAGAAAGCATGCGAAGGATAAAAGAGTATACGCTTGGATTTTGCAATAAAAACAATGCATTTTTATAATGGAATTAATTGAAAGCATATTAAGAACATATAAATAAAGTCTGCTCTTCTTTCGTTTTTTTGGTATTTATGAAAATATACGCGTAATAATTTTTTGAAATTAGACGAGTTCAAGCCGACTTTCAATTTTTTTAATGTGTCTTCTATTTATTTTTTGAAAATTTTGAATGGCGAGCAATCTAAATTTCGGTGGTTAATAACATCCGAATACTAGATCAGTTACAATTCCTTAATAAAAATCCTTAAAATTTAAGCCTATTTTCAAAAGTAAGAATCCCCTTAAGTTAGGATACAGTTTAAAACAAATTAACGTATTTCTTATTTCTGAGTTTTTTTTTTTTTTGAAAAAAGTTGTTTATTTTAATGACTTAAGATTCACTCTATATTTGTGACAATTATTGATTCATTTGTGCAGGAAGTTAGCGATAGAGTCAATCAATCATCCGACGACGTCGTCGTGCAAAAACTAGAAGAAGATTGTCGATACGTAATAAAACACGATTGGAGGGCGCATACAGATAAAGAAATCACCCAGGATTTGAAGAAATATCGCAGTTACGAGGGGAACTCGCTTAGAGATTTGATACGCGCGTTAAGGAATAAGGTTAGTAAATAACAACTGAGTTTAGCTGAGTTAGTAACATTCGAATGTTTCAGAAACATCACTTTAGGGAGCTGAACGTCGAATCGCAAAATCTTCTCGGGTATAACTCCGAAGATTTTACAAACTACTGGCTGAGCAGGTTTCCGTTGTTGTTGGCGCACACTTGGTTGATCATGCAAGGCGTGGCGGATGAAGATAACTTTAAGAAGTTTTATAACACTCCTTATCGGTATTCCCTGCCGGAATTCAAGGAGCAGATGTTGGATTTCGTCTCGAAGAATCCGATAGTTTTACCTGAAGGTTATGAAGAATGCCGAGAAGGCAATTCGGAAAAAAATAGAAGTTACAATTCTAGCCCAGCTAAGCAAAAAGTAGACAAGATGTTGCCTAGATCGGGGGGTTTGTATAGGAACCATGACGATGACGGTGCGAAAAATCAGCTCACTAACAGATTTTATCAGAAAAAGAAGAAAAATAAGAAACCAGATGAACCTCTGGTGTGGGCCGTCGGAAATTCTTAATTATTTCTAAGTTTGTTATGTTACGTTTTTGTTATCTGTGATATTTGCATTTGTACAAAGTTTATGTTTTTACCTTTTAAGATTTTACAATATCTATTATAGTGACAATTGTATATTTTTACAAAATTCTTAATATATGGTTCACCAATGTTTTTCTAATTTTATCAACGTTTTTTTTTTTTTTAATTCCTGAATCAAAACAATGGTACAATCTGAAAAAAAAATGGCTCAAAATTATCAGGGTATGCGTAAAAATCCGCTAGTTAATTGTGTATTTACGGCAAAAAATGGTGTATTTTTACCCGTCAGAAGTGCAATCGTATTTCAGCTTGTATCGAATGAAAAATACAATCGAGTCTAATTTTCAACGTATTATATTATTATCATTTACAGTAATTTCTGACTACTTTAGACGACCGGGTTAATTGAGACTAAAACTTTCGAAACTGCATTAAATACTTCCGGAATTATGTTTGGAACTGGGATATTAATGCACTGCGACCTAAACTATCTATCGTGCTGGCATAATATAGGGTTGAAATTTAAGGTCGCATGTCCATTAGGGCCCTGGATCACGGAAGATGATAACCGGCTCGAAAGACCAAATTATGACGGAATTTGAACTAAATATTTAGCTTATGGGAAGGAGAACTACATTATGAATTTAAAAACACACTTAAATAGTTTCGTACCACATGCTTGTTTCAATGTTATTTTTTATCTCTACTGTGCTAGTATGCATGGTTCACTTTTAAGTGTTACCGATGCTAGTCGGAAATAGAGTGTTTCGTTAGTTTCGTTGGACAATTAGTTGCCTCATCTCTTCTCTCAGCTTTTTGTATAATGGATTCATCAGCAAAGCAACAACGCTACAGACGGTATAACGAGGTTCTTGTTTTAAATATTTTTATTGACTTGCAAGATAGATGTTTCAGAATGTAGTTTGGTTTTAACGACTATGTGCAGGTGTTTTCTCACGTACAGGTTCAAGTATATGTTTAATTTGAGAAACGCATGTTACGAAGTTTAAACACGTTGCATTTCAAAGGACTCTCCGTACACTGAAGTTATTCTCTAATAGAACTGTTTCAGTTACCGTTTGAACTGTCGATCAATCTCTAGAATAGAATAAACACTACGGTTGATCATTGCAACTTTTTTACTAAACAAATTACTTTATTGTGTATTGCCGCATAAATGTTTATTCGACATTACCTTACTTTATTTAGAAAATCAGCGATTCAGTTTTTAATATTACAAATAATTTAGGAGAATTAAACCGCATTTAAATGAAATATTTTGATTTGGATTATAAAGTCTCAATGCTTTTTTAAAAGATCCTTGCGTCTAAAAACGTTGTTGTCTCAAGTGACCTGGAACTTGAGACAATCAAATTTTTAATTAATTTTATGAAAACTTTTGCTTAAGTGAAATGTAATTGATAAAACTGGTTTTACGGGTTAAGACTTAAACTCTTATGTATATATAAACAGTCGACAAATCAATACTTACTAAGTCATCCGAAATGAAGATACCTCTTTAAAATACAAACAAAACAAGTTTTCACATGAATTCACGTCATGGAAGATGAACGAACATAATTGTTACTGTCTGTAGTGTCATTTGGAATCAAAATTTCGTATAGTTTATTTCAAAATACTACTTTTTTTATATATTTCCCGAGAAGTTTAAATTTCTCTCGTTTTCAAGCATAAGCACCATGAAGTGATGAAATTGGTTTAAAACATTACTTTGCAAAGCAATAGTGCATTTTACTAAATGGAAAACACTATAATCTTTGATGAATAATTTATGTCAGTTCGTAAGTTGGGAAAGAATACCCGAAAATGGGGCAAAATTATTGTCGTTGGCAACACTGTTTCCGTAAATACACTAGCGAACCTAGCGGATTTTATTCGTAACCCTGATCAAAGCCACATTTTCTTTTGTTTTTAAGGGGGGAGTAAAGTTTTTAAACTTTTTTTTATATTTGATTTTGTGAATGGAGAACCTTTCAAAAATATTGTGTGAAAATTTGGGATGAATCGGAGTAAAACTAACGAAGATACAGCGATTTGAGTAATCGTGCCTCATACATGACTCAGGAAATCCCTGCCCGGCCCGAGCGCGCTATTGTTACCTGGCAGCAAGGGCAGAGGGAGACGGGGCCATAGCACAAGTACAAACGTGTTTGTACCTGTACTGTATATAATTTAGTGTAGCATTGGCCTGGCATGTTCTTTTGCTTTACTAATCTACATTCAAGACATGGGAATCAGTAGTGGATCAAGAGCTCATGAATGAGGATTCGTCGTAGACAGGAGCAAAAAGATGCTTTAGACATCATGAATGATATCAACATCCTTTATGTACCTGGCATCGATGATTCAGTGTGAGATAAGCCGATAAAACTTGCTTATCAACGTTTTATTCCAAATTTTTTAGTGTTCAAACTAAAGCGTTTTTCCCACAACTCACATTTCCAAAATCGGGGCCCCTCATAACTTCAAAACTACTGCACCTATCCTCTTGAAATTTTGAACACTATTTCTGTGCATAATTTACGAGGTAACGCTGGAAAGTTTTTTCAAATAAACAGATTTTAACTGTGTCGTCAAAAAAAATCACATAATGTGCTTTTGCACAAATTAACTTTACCCCCCTTAAATGAGAGTTGGTTTAAGTAAAAGAGTAGCACCGATTCTAAGACAAATGTGTAAATCTCCATAAGAAATTCCATGGTTTAAGATAGCAAAAAACGAGACAGTCGCTGTGACATTATTGCTATTATGTTATGCAGATTTACATGGGAAAATGGTCGATTTCATCTTAGAATCGGTGCTGTCCCTTTACCAGCCACAACTAGTGAGTTATCTACCACTGTATCATCGATTCATTGACGAAGGTGTGGCTTTAGGTTTTTATTTAAGAAAACTGGTTTCAACAATTATTTACTGCAGTTTTGCGCAATGACAATCTCCAAATTTGTTGGTAAACTATCATCTATAGCTATAATCTATACCAATATACAGATATGTGTTTAAACAGTCATGTATGCCCGTTATACTGTCGCTGCGAACCTAAACTGTACGTTTGGAGTCAGTAGTGTAAATAGAGCTTGAATAAACGATCGAACTTACTCGGTTCATGTGCTCATATTACTCTTTGTGTGAAGCACAAACTTAAATTAAAAAAATGCGTCGGCTATAGAATAAATTGTATTGAAACTTGGTTATCTACAATTAATCATCCATTAAATAAAAAAAAACAACGTACATTAATGAAAAAGTCAAATAGTTCAATATTTAAAAATCTTACAAATTTAAAAGAATTATTCCCACCGCGTTTTCTTCCTGTTCGCTGTGGGAGGGGGTTGTTCAGTACTTGCTGTAAACTGAAAAAGAAAATAATTTGAAATATAAATTGACAGCAGTCGAACTATATGTGCTTACTTGATTCACGTATTGCATTTTGAATGCCTGCTTCATAGCCGACAACCGATCAGTAGCTGGTCCTCTAGGCGCAGCTGAAGAGTTTGTACTAGAAGTGGGTGCGGGACTCGAAGATTTCTCTTTAAATCCCAACCCCATACCGCCGATGTTCGGGTTGTAGTCCTTCTTTGACCTAAATCTTTGCTTTTTGAACCAAGAACTCTGCAACGCCAAATCCAAAACGTCCTGCGGTACCTCCTGATGCGCCGCCTCGAGATTTTTCACGATATGACCGACAAATTCTTTGTCTTTCGGCGTCAGCAGGGTATAAGCGGTACCCTGAGTGCCGGCACGACCAGTCCTACCGATTCGATGAGTGTGAGTATCTATATCTCTCGCTATATCGTAATTAACCACCGTTCTGACGTGGGGAATGTCCAAACCTCGAGCTGCCACATCTGTAGCCACCTAAAATTGGACAACCTTTAACACATCGTCTTGTCAAATATCAATATCAATACTTTTGACATGTGACGTGACTTACCAGCAGCGGACATTCATTCTTTTTAAATGACATTATTACTTTATTACGTTCAGCTTGTTCCATATCACCATGTAAAAGCAAACATTCGAATTCTTTCATTATTATATCTCTAAAAACCTAAAATATAATGACATTTAATTTACTTCTAAATATAATAAGCAGTAAACATACCAATTCAGCATCCAACTTCTTGGTAACGAATACCAAAACAGATCCCGCTGACAGCAGTTCCACCAATTTACCAAACAGCCACTCCCTCTTAGCCTCCTGAGTGGGCAAAAGCAGCGCGTGTTGCGTAACATCTTCATTAGCCTGTCCTGTAGTCCCTTGAGATATTTTCACGGGATTCGTCAGAGCATCTTTGGCCAGTTTTTCTATTCTTTTGCGGAACGTGGCAGAGAAAAGCAAAGTTTGTCGATCGGGACGCACGTGATTGCAAACTGATCGCACTTGCGGTTCGAAACCCAGCTCGAACATTCTATCGGCCTCGTCCAAAACTAGGAACGTTACCCTTTGTAGATTGGTAGCGCCACCTTTGATGTGATCGATGATTCGTCCGGGCGTTGCCACGACAATCTCTCCGCCTTCCTTCAAGGCCTGAAAACCACATGGTGTGATGAAAATTGTTAAAAATTAACGGGTCGCATGTCCGTTGATAAGACGCCTAATAAAAAAGAAAACTAGCTGACAAGTGACACTAATGACAAGCTAATAACAAAAATTTAACCAAGGTATGGTCAGATATCGGCCGTAACTAGATTACTAGTATTTTTTGACAGCGGTTTCTAAAAAAAATTTTTTTGTTGGTTAAATTTGGACCACGAACCGAGAGTTACGTATTTCTGTGACAGATTTGACATTCGAGTTAGACATTCCAACGACCTGTCAAACAATAGCTGCCAGTGGGAAGGGCTCATATATATCTAATGTGGTTGAGACATAGCCTTGCTTCTTGGATGCTATTTTTACTCTAAATGGTAGTCGCCAAAAGCCTGCCAATTTATGAAAAATGCATAAGTGGTTTTTTAAAAATATTTTAATTCTGTTTGAGATAAAATATTTAAATTTAATTCATTATTCATGATTTCCATATTGTAGCATATGTCACAACCCTTTAGACATACTAAATCATCCCACTGACAGTTCCTTTGTTTGGAATGCCTAATAGTAGATTGATGTTTGAGTCACCATTTTTCAACCAACTGCATCTCTAATTTAACCGGTTTTTCAGGAATGTCAAGCAATGCCGTTAATTTTGGACCCAAGTAACTGATATTTTGGTCAATATCGGACCATACTCTCTAAAGTGATTAGAACATTCATGGCTAAAACTGAAATTGAAAAAAAAATTAAGCAAAAAAGTTTAGTGGAAAAATGCCAGAAGCACGTTAATAGGTCTATTCAAACAATGATCAGAAATCGGTCATTGATACCAGGATTCTACACAGTAGTGGGACTGCCAAATATAAGGTTTGTTCCAATAATTAAAATAATTAAATTTTCAGGTTATTGTGGCTTTGCACATGTCTTGACAATTTGTTCCTATTCAGACCCAGGAACTGATTTGTCATAATATTAATAATAATAATGTATCTTTATTTTTATATGAATAATACATAAAAAACAAGTCAAGGTACATGAGTATATAAATAAAATAAGCGACAGATATAATAGTAATAAAACAAAATATGAATAAAATAATTATAATGAAAATTAAGATTAGCGACAGTTATGATAATAGTAAAAAAATAGTACACAAATGCAAATAATAATTAACATTAGCAACACTTATAATGATATAGATAATAAAATTAAACACAAATGTAAATTGTAATTAAAATTGGACTTAGTGAAATGATAAAAACTCTTCAAGGGTATATGGATTAACATGGTTTATGTATTAGTTTTGGTTTTGTCAGACCACTATGTTTTTGTACAGTTGTAAGTCTGAATTTGTTGGAACACAAATTCTAGACTGTGCAGAATCCCGACAGTACATAAACTGATTTGGTTTATGTTGGAACAGACCTAATGCAGCTTTTTCATAAAACACCCAAACAAAAGCTATGCTGAATAGTCCTAGCCTCAAAAATTGAAAAAAGAAGAAGTAACAGACTGCAGAGCACAATTTAAAATGTATTAATTACAAGTATTCTGTATAAACATCATAATTAAGAAGGTTTTAACTCACCAAGCTCTGTTCCCACTTAGAGCCCCCACCGTAAGCACAAATAACTCTCAAATCGTAGACTTTGGCGAATTTTTTTGCTTCTGTATATATTTGCAGGGCTAACTCTCTAGTAGGAGCTAAAATCAAAGCTATGGGGCCTTCTCCTTCTTCAACAGGCTTTTGGACAGCTACATGTTTGATTAGAGGCCACAAGAATGCTGCTGTTTTACCACTACCTAAATACATTTAAAGTAATGTTTTTTTTTTAAGAATTTTTGTATTTTATTTCTTACCTGTGTGTGCAATTCCTAGAACGTCTCTACCGAGAAGGGCACAAGGTACACCCTGAGCTTGGATAGGAGTGGGTGTAGTGTATTCAGCTTTAATAATGGTTTTTATTAACTTATCTTCAAAACCAAAATGAGCAAAAGATGTAACAGGCTTAGGGGGATTGTTTCCAGTGACATTAATATCCAAAGTTTTTCTCAGTTCTTTTAATTTCTCACCAGTTAAAGCTAAAATCCGAATAACCAATGTTATATGTACAAAAAATTACTAAAATCAACTTACCTTCAATTTCTTCATGTTCTTGATAAAACACTTTCTCAAAAGGTTCATAATTAATTTCAGAATGATCAATTGGAGGCAGGGGATCAATTATTTTCTTTTTATCTGGTGCTATAGGATTTCCATCTTCATCATATTCTACTTCTGGATAGTCATCGTCAGTTGGTAGCAATCCTGCATTGGGATTTTCTTCCATGTACCTGTAATATGATTCTTCAACATCTTCCTCTTCTAAATCATTTCTGATGCCCTGTTGCTGAGATTGTTGAGAAGTTTGCTGTTTATGCATCTACAAAAAACCATTACAAGATTTACTATTGTGTATTTTATTCCAATTGGTCAACTCATATTTTATATCAAAATTAGTATTGCATTTCTACATATTAATAAACAACCTTCTAATAAATTAAATTGATCACCTGCTGCTCAATCCCAGCCATATAAGCATCGAGTGGATCATCATCCTCCTCTTCAACGTGTCTTTTTTGTTCCATTTCCACCCTGGTTGGACTTCCTGGAGCAGGAATATATGCCAATTCGGGCACTTGTTCTTCATCGTCTTCCTCGAAATACCTAAAATTAGCTCCTCATAAGTCTGCACTTGGGGGAAAATTGAATTACATACTCATCTTCAGTGGCTGCTCGTTTCCTACTGGTACCACCCCAAGCTGCTGATAAGGCATTTTGGCTGATGGCGTTCATTGTGGAATAACCTTGTTTGGATACACCAGTTGTTGGCGGCGGTACGGCATTGTGACGACGAGCATTTGAGTGAATATTTGCGTAATTAAAAGCCATAGTTACAATGTTTCACTTCCGAATAACCTAGAAAGTAAGTTTTTTTTTTTTCAGTTAACTATTTTGATAAAGTAATACTATGATTTAAAGACAGTTGTGGACTTTTTTTTTACATTATTATAAACAATTTTAACAGTTTACCATTTAATTTTTAACAACCACTTAACAATTGTCAAATTGACATTTCTAATTATTGACAATGACAATAATGACATTGATATCAGTGTTGCCAATCCTTGAGACACTAATGATATTTTCATCTTTTTTCTGGTTACTAACTGCCTTCTTCTATGGAGAACAAGCAATTATATACTATATCTAACCAAATAACAGTATAAAAAAATCTCAAACTAGTGACCAGTGTTTTATTACCGATAAGACCAGTAGGTAACCTCTAATTTTGAAAATCAAAAACAAATCAACATTTATAAAAACACAAATAAAATGTTTTGAGTGTTTCTTATATAGTTTTTGGTCCTAATTTTAGAATAATTAATGTGATTTAAAATTAATAATGTGTCAAACTAAAAATAATATTACACAATAGTTTTTATTGATAATACAGATAAAAGTTATATTGATATTTTTAATTAGTAATAAAATTTGTTTTTACATTCATTAAAGTACAATGCCGCGGGCAATTTCATTAAATGAGCATTTATTCATCGGTACAATATTTTCCTGTATTTTCTTGGTGTTCAATTATTCATTGCATAGGATTGAGGAGGGACACGTCGGTGTATATTTTAGGGTAAATAAAAAAAAACTTTTTAGACTTCTTTATTTATTTATTTATATTATATTTAGGGTGGGGCTCTTTTGCCATGGGTCAGCTTCCCTGGATATCACATGATGATACCATTACTGACGAGTCACAAACCAGTTCAGGTTTGTTATATGTTTAAAAATCTTTTCTATTTGAATTTAACAAAATTTCCTTAGATTACTTTGCAAACGGATGAAGTAAAGAATGTGCCATGTGGGACAAGTGGTGGAGTTATGATTTATTTTGATCGAATTGAAGTGGTAAACCATCTTAATCAAAATAGTGGTAGGTAAAATAGCATTATTTTTTATATTAAAAATTTTAGGAATCTTTTTTCTTGGCTTATCATAAGTAAACTTCCTTTTGCTAATACAGGAAATATCTAATCAATATTACCAGGAAACAATGATAAAGGTGGTATCTAGTAGAGACCAATTTAGAACCACTACAAACAAATACATATTTTTTTTTTTTCATATTATTTAGGACTGTAAATAATGTACCATTTTATTTATTGTCATTCACAATCTATTTTTTTATTAGTTATTTTTATAAATAATCTATTTGCTAATTATTGTATGTAATTATTTAATTTGTAATTAATTTTAAACTATTTGAATGACTAAAATTATAGTCACTTCAATAAATTATTCAGTTGCATGGAATTAAATGTAAAATTATTACTCTCAAAATAGAAAATGTTTTTAAATAACAAAATGTTCATAATATTAATAATTAATATTTTGACCAAGGCCTGTGATTACGTAAGGTTTTTGTGGTTTAAAATAAAATAGTATGTGGGCTTATAGCGATGTACATTTTAATGCAAAATCCAGGTTATATATAGTTATTACTTATTCGAGAGTCACAATTAACGCAGGACCTCTTAACTAACATTTCCACTGAAAATTATATTTTATGATAAACTTGTTTAAAACATTTCGCTCCATCTAGGGGAAGCATTACATTTTTTGAATAAAACATGGGTAAATATTCCTATTATAGAGTAAAATGGATTGTTCTATGCACTTGTGAATCGTTTTTTTATCTCTTGAAAAATGTTGATTTTTCGACTTACGAGGTCCTGCCTTGTGGCCCTTGATATCCATTATTTATACAGAATACGGAATATACTATAATACATGTTATGGATTATGGTATAGTTAAAATTAAAATTTAATTAAGATAATTTAAATTAGGCTGCAATAGTGTGATAAATTTAATTTAAAAGAATTGGAATGTCCAGGGTCAGTATTTTTACATGCATTTTGTTCGCAACCAATGCAAAAGCTCCATGACCGCTGATGAATAATATTCAGACTGATGCGAATTTTACCGCTATTTCGCTGTGAATTTTTCTTCGCAGATTTTCCCGTTGGTTTGGTGATTTTTATCGACACAAACCGTCAACTGCATGACATTGACTAGTTGAGCGGCTCCAGGCTGAATTTTTTAATAAAAAAAAGTGCCATCAAATAGTCTTCAGTCGTAACAGAAGCCCCACAGAACAAATAATCTACAATATTAATGGTTGCCCTTTGGAATCGGTATCAAGAAGATTTGGGTGTAGTCCTCGATTCCAACTTATCTTACGTATTGATAATAAAAAATTCTTTAAATCCCAGCTTAAATCATGCATGTGATAGTTTTATGTCTAGATAATTTAATTTATTTACAATTGTTATCTTGTTTTTTTTATTATTTAATTTTTTCTTGTTTATGGTAATTTTATGGTAATGTGTATTTCTTTGTTTAAAAATTCTCTAAGTGTAGGTTAGGTTTTAAATTTTCCCTTTTATTAAACTTGTATTTTAATTGGGCAATTGCTTGTTGATAAATAAATAAATAAAAGGCATGTGGATTATAAGAACCTCGGGCCGCCCTAGCCAAGAGAATTCAGATAAATATATTAAGAAAATTAGTTTGACATTTTGTCTTTCTTCACAGGTACTAAAAGGTCACTTTTATGAATTTCTTTTTTCCTCTGTCCATTATTGCATGTATTTATTTAAACAAGAATAACTTTCCAAAGAACTATATTAGCAAATTTATGGGCTACAAATAATTATTTAAACAAGTAATAATTCTACAAAACTTCAACAGCTATTTCACACTTTTATTAAACTATTTAAGTGACATTTTTATTAGCATCTATAAAATAATTTTCTACACCAATGTTTCGCGTTCATTTCAGTAACTTATTGTCAAAACTGTGTATGAAGTGGGAGAACTGGCAAAAGCCTTTCCAGCTTCTGTTCCTGTTTGAGTAAAATGTATTAACATTTTTTTTTTTTAATAAAATCTGAATAATTGTGAATGATTATACCTATTACTAAAGTACATTTAAAATTTATTTTTAAAATATGAACAATTCTTTTCAGTTATAGACATTGTACGAAATTATACTGCAGACTACGATAAAACGCTGATCTTTAACAAAGTTCACCATGAATTAAATCAGTTTTGCAGCATTCACACGTTGCACGAAGTGTATATCGACCTATTCGATCAAATAGACGAAAATTTGAAACTGGCCCTGCAGCGGGACTTGCTGGAAATGGCGCCCGGTTTAACCATACAGGCTGTGAGAGTTACCAAACCCAAAATTCCCGAAGTTATAAGGAAGAATTACGAACTAATGGAAGGGGAGAAGACGAAATTGTTGATTGCTACCCAACATCAAAAGGTTGGTTTAAAGTTTTATGTACAGGGTGTATAAATCCTTGGTTCTGGACATAGATTAGGGGAAAATGAATAGATATGGGAAACTTAAAATTCTGAGGCCATGTGCTGCCATCTATCAAATTGGAGTGGTACTAAAATTCAATATGGCCGCCACGAGCGGGCTTTTTGAAATTTAACTTTGTGGTAGCTGGGCAAAAATGTAATGAAAAAATCAAACAAAAAAAATAAATTGGAAAAATATTTGACTAATTTCAAATCATAAAACAACCATATCGACTGTTTTGTGATTTGAAACTAATCAAATATTTTGCCAATTTATATTTTTTATTTGATTTTACTTCATTATATTTTTGCAGTAATTTCAAACTTGAAATAAAATGCAGTTTATTTTATTTTTTTTATTACAGTAAGTTAACGCCGTATCATATAATTTGTCTATTTAAATATTTATAAAACAAACCTATCAAATATGTTTTCTGTAACAAAATCAGTATATATAAGTGCTCAAAGGCCTTTATAAAAGTTTTGCAACTTGGAGTGGCAAATCATCCTTTTGGTGTCTTACTCTCAAGGCAAATTTGAGTGTGGATAAAATTCGCCATACGCTTGAGTCAACTAGTTAGGTTGAGGAGCATTTCTTAATCCGATAATTGTTTTATTGATTTATTTGTACAGCACTTGTAGTTATCAAATTCTTATTCATCATTTGGGCACTGTGATAAATAAATTTAACTTTTGAGCTTAAATTAAACTTACACACGTTTGGACCTTTGAAGATTTTGGGGTGTTTTCTTGTTTGATGTCAATGGCATTGAATCAATTTTTGATACTGATGGCCGAGGCTCAAATATTTCATCGATCGACAGGGTATTTTGGAGGGCCAACATTTTACAACAATGATCATTTAAAAACTGAAAACAAAAAGAAATTTAAATAACAAACCAATTATTTTAACACTGAATCAAAACAAGTTTGTAAATATTACTTACCATTGGTGCCAAACAGTGATAGATGCATTTTTCCTAAGACACTTATTACAAATTATTTGGTTATCCTTAATATGACGACCGCATATTTAATGTGGTATAAATTGCATCACTACCAATATTTGGGAGTGCTTTATTGTTCGTTGCTTAAATCCATCTTCCCATCTTTTGGAAACATGCTTAAAATTGGAAGGTGTTGAAAAATAAATCTAGATTCTAGATGAATCAAAATCCAATACACCTTCAAATGCAATAGCCATTTTAACTTTGAAGCGAGGCGTTCGGCTTGGCCAGGGACAAGAGCAGAGTTTTTTAGGGTGCTTTTAAATGACATTTAAGCATGTTAAACTGTCACTTAGGGCCGAGTCCACCGTTGTGTTAAACGGAGTTTAAAATGAGATTGTTAATGTAAAAATGTAATTTTAAACATCGTTTAACACAACGGTGGAATCGATCCTTATCGGACTAAACCACATACTTTGACGTATGTGGACTAAACCGAAAGCTAAAAGGGTTGTTTGGAGTTAAAAGTTTTAAAGGAACTTGGCAGACCGAACGCAATGTTTGAAGTTTGACGAGCTGACAACTGACATGACATTTCGATACGAGCGCCATCCCGTTAATTGGAGTGGTACTAAATTACCTTCATGTTTTTTCCATTTGAGTAACCAGCCCCTGGTTCTGGACATTAGCAAATGCACATTTTTTAAATTACAGGTAGTCGAAAAAGATGCCGAGACGGAGCGTAAAAAAGCTGTAATCGAGGCGGAAAAAGAAGCGCTGGTCGCCAAAATTCAGTTCGAACAGAAGATAATGGAAAAAGAATCTTTACAAAGGATCTCTCAAATAGATGATGAAATGCATTTGGCGCGTCAACATAGCCATGCCGATGCTGAATTCTACAAGTTCAAGTTACAGGCAGACGTGAACAAAATTCTACTTACGCCGGAATACATAGAATTGAGGAAATACGATGCGCTTGCGCAAAATACTAAAGTTTACTTTGGTAACGAAATTCCACAGACTTTTTTGGGAGCCGACTTGTTTGTACCGAAGGAAACGAAAACCGATAACAAAAATAGTTAATATTGGTTTCTTTAATGTCCAATTGTGTGTGATCCACTTGATTTTTTCGTTTCGTACTGCGTTTGAAGAGTTTTCTTGTAAAAAGAGCACTATTTGTATACGAGAATCACCATTGGCTTTCGATTTTAATAAAATGCTACTGATTACTTTGTTTTTATTTCATTCGTTTAGGGTTGAGTTCTTCAAAATTGCTCTTCTGAAAAGGTGAATTTGAACAGCCCCCCAGAACAAGGGGAAACCAATATATAGAAATAATAAAATTAAATATAATACATCTAGCGCCATTTATTAACATGGTAACGAACCTCGTCTTTAAATATAAAGTCTAAACCAGAGACTGATGGTTCCAGTTTAATACATATAAGCTCTAGAGCTTTATGTGGAACAGATATTTCCCTCTCTCTTGGTTTCGATTGAGCATTGTTTAATTTTTGTAAATGTTTGGTATCGTGAATGAATTAGTATAGAAAATACTTTTAGATGGAAAATCTCTGCAATAGTTTTATGTTTAAATAGTTTTTACGGGTCCATTAAATCAGTCTTGACCACCATTATATTTTCTGATAGCTGAAATGTTTTTTTTTGTTTATTAATGGGAATATTGATTATAACATTAAATTGTATGGTATACTTTCGATAATTTAAATAAGTTTTACAGAAAGTAAAACTATGTATTGTAGGAGTTTATTTTAAGATCACGGGTATTTAGAGTGAAAAATTTTTTTCAGCGTTAATTAGTTTTTTACTGTCTGTGAAAAAATGGTTTGTTTAACCTTAAGACTTAGCGGTTGCTTAGTACTTAGTACTAATTTACATGAATTAATGTGGTTAGTTGACCAAACAATGATTTTGGAGATGTTCTAGCATCCTGGTTTTAGAAATTTAATCGTGAAATTGGCTAATGGTACGGAGGTTCTTCATCAATAGATTGAGATTCAACCCAATCTTAACAGCTAAGTGCAACACAAACCCTAGTGCAATTTATCTTCGTTTCAATACTAATTTTAATAGATGTTAAACAAATATTACGTGTCTGTTCTATCTGTCGATTTATCTTCATATAGATATTAAATTTGAATATATGTTAACCAAAATTAACTAATATTTGTGGTAACTCTAGATAGTATAGATTCTCTTTACTTTATTTTATTGAAAATCACAAGTCAAATATTTCAAATCTTTATCCTTGGTCAGTCTTTGCGATTCTCATGACTTATAGGAAATATGTTAATTAGTCATGTTTAACCAAAGAGCATTTACTGGCGCCATATTTATACTAATATCCTGAAAAGTGTAATTTCCTGAAAAACTTACCTACGAGCTTGGATTAGAGAGTCTTATGTCATTACAACTTATCTTAGTCTTATAATTAAAATCATTACTTGAACTTAACTATAATTTATCTACGATTCTGTAGAAATATTTCTAAATGAATCGAAAATTAAGGTCAAATAGGGCGTCAATCAACCCCAAAGGGAATTTGCTGATTATTTAATGGGAATCAAATATTTCCGCTCCTAGACATAGAAATCATATTTTTTTTTAGCATAAGTTAGGTACAAATACCACTTTAACCTGTCCTAAAGAGAACGACTTGCAAGTTATATAGGATGTTTTTCAACCTCAAGGAGAAAATAGTCGCAATCACATATCTTGGTTCCTAGACATAAAAATATAAATATTTTTTCTAGCATAGGGTAGGTACAAATACCACTTTCAAAATCTGTTAAAGATAACGACTTGCAAGGTCAAACATATTTTTTTTTCTAGCATAAGTTAGGTACAAATACTTATTCCACTTTTAATCAATGAAAATCACTGGGTTTTATTTTATATTAATTTTTTGAAGAGCTTACATTCACTTTTTTGGATCGACTAAAAATAAATGCCGTGCTTATTTAACGAAATTTCAAACTATTTTTAAAAAATATTTTACTTTAAGCAATGATATACTAGATAGAATCAATTATTTAAAATTAGATGTTATAGAGGATTATATTAAACAACAAAATTCATATAATTGCGGGATTTATATAATATACTTTTCTAAACAGCTTATAAACAAAACTGCACTAAATACACCTTGCGACATAAATGAATATAGGAAGATATGTCAACAGCTGTTATTACACAACGCGGATAAAATGAATGAATTTTTGTTTGTTCAAGAAAAATTATGAATACTTCTGAAGGACTGCTGTAAGTACTGAAAACGTGGTTCCCTTAAGAAATGTACTAGGCCTAAATAAAGCAGAGAGGAAATTAAGGAATCGAGCAGGACCAGACTGGCCGAAAATGGCTCGCACATTATTTTTGAAACGAGAAAAAAACTTTATGAAGAATTACATTTTCCCTAAAAGTTGAAAATAAAAAGATTTCCACTTTTTCAGTCCATTCGGGAACCCGCAGTATATTTTGTCAAGTATGAGAAGTGTGTAGAAGACGATATACTTATCTGTTAAATAATAAATCTAATAAAAACGCAAAATAAATAATAACATACCTACCATTTGTGTCTTCATAATAAAAATGTATTATTATAAACTCCTATCTTTATTTATTGAAACAATATCAATATGTGATTTCTGATTTCATCTTGCTCCTTACCTGTTAAAATAAAAGGACTGCAAAAATAAAAAAACCTTAAGATTTATTAAAATAATTTATTCATTAATTTCAAAACGATAAAAAAATTTGTAAATCACTATTAACTAGACCAATTTTCTTACAAAAAAAAATAATAGGTTTATTACAAGGCCGTTTTTTTTAGTAAAAACCTTGCATGTTTTTTTAATCTAAAATTATCTTTTATTTATTAATATTTTTTTATATTGCAATACAATATTAAATTTAATGTTACTCTGTTCGTTTTTAAAATAATATATTATGTAGATATTTTTAATAATTTATTAATTTAATTAGCTGTTTCGATCTATATTTGTATAGTTTTATTTATTTTACATGGTCAAAAATTCAAACTTATATATTACATAACTAAATTTTTAATTAAGAACTAAATCTTGAATAGTATTTAGAACATTCATTTTTCTATAACATTTACCCATACCTATCTAAAATAAAGAGTGATTCACAAAAAATGTTTCTAAAGTAGGCCATGACCGATAACTCCGCACGGCTATGAATCACATCCAAACTGACACTTGCAAAGCCTACTTTAGAACTGTTTTTAGATCACTCAACGACGAAAAACTACTAGACTAATCCATTCATTCATAAATAGGTTACCGCTTTAGAAAAAATGAGGCAGTTGCTTGTTTGAGTGGGGATTCTTTGCGCGAGTATGTATAATAGTTGCAACGAGAAAAATACATTAAACTGATAATAGTGGTATTAAGAATGCAAATATACTTTCCTAATGTAATTCGGAAAGTATTTTGTGTACTTTAGAGTTTTATATACTTTCCTAATGTAATTTTGAAAGTCTTTTGTGCACTTTAGAGTTTTATGCGTAGTCAATACCGAATTATAACCTCAAACAATCCTTGTAACAAGACTCTCCCATACTCTCTACTACGTCTATGACAGTGTGAATGTTTGCAATTCGATTTTTGTAAACAAAATTAGTCTAGTAGTTGTTCGACGTTGAGATCACTCCATATTAACTATTAAAGATAAAATAATAAATAATTATAAATACTGTTCCTAATTATCACAAAAATGTGGGTAAAATCATCTATTGACAGATACCTTTATGGATGTTTTGTTCAATATATTATTATTTGATATCGTGTTTCAATTTTGTGCTTTTCTTTCAAAATTTTACAAAATAATTAGCCCAAAAATGCCGGCACCTTTCTTGCTTTTTAGCAATAATTTATAATTATAATTTTTTTGGTTAAAAATATGTAGAATAAGTACATCTAAAGCCTAAATTTTAATCTAACAGAGCGAGAGAATTGTGCCAAAAAAATAGAAATCAATTAGATAGTGCTTTAAAATAAAAATACTTACAATACATATTCTAGTTAAAACCTTGTCAATGTCATATTTTAGCGTGACATTTTGACGTGACCTGGAGTGCGTTTAGAAACCCCGCACGACGCGTCTAAGCCCTATTCTAATGCATGTGGCCAGACGCGCCGTGCGGGGTTTCTAAACGCACTCCGGCATTTTTTAAAATTGCAGATTTGCGTGATCCAATATACCTAGTTTCAAAGTGAAATGAATAACAAAGTTAATATATTTTGTAGAAATTATCCCATTTGCGGTATTGCCATATTATTTGTCTACATTTTCTCCGGATCTTGTTAAAAAAAATGGTACACAACTAATAAATTTGAGCAATACTGCCCTGCTAAAACAAAAATGAATATTTTTAGGAAATGTACATAATTACGTCCTTTCAGACTTTTGTAAAGTAAGTTTCGCAGTTTTGACCAACCTTTTTATATAATTTCAAATATTTTCTAATAAAAATATGTCTTTCTAACTTTGAATCATAATAAAACAAAATGTAGGCTTATTAAATATGTAAGAGTTTCGAAATCGGATAATTTGTAGATACGACTTCTTTTCTTAGCAGAGCAGAATATTTAAACATCAATTCAACCTTTAAACCTGGTCAAAATTAATATGAAAATAAAATCATATTCCAATATACAGTCATTTGTATGTATGTATGTTAGTTTAAAGAAGTTTTATTGAATCAATATAGCGGAAGCAGATAAGTTCCTCATTTTATTACTTTTAAAAGATAATTCAAAACTGTAATTGGTTTTTAATGTCGGTTTGTTTTGATAGTCATTTATTCATCAATGTATAAGTACTGTATATACCTAATTAAACTCATAAATAATTAATTAAATTACTAGAGTTATGTATTTTTTGTTAAATACGTAATGTTCATTGAATTACAACACACCACACCTGATTAAAATTTAAAACGTCTAGAAAACAAAGAATATATTTCACACCAGAGTGAAGTTTGAGGCATACTTGAGCGCTAGGTGAAGTTATTACTAAACAGTGCGGCAAAGCAAAATGTTGCAGGATTTCATATTTAATGCATACATTAAATATTTATCCTTCCTTTGAAAAGTAACATTTTTGTATTCATTTTTACTATTTTTGCTTGCTGCACAGGGTGTCTAATTAAGGACATCTATTTTTATACAGGGTGGCCAAACGAAAACGAAATTCTATTAACAAAAACTTCGTCAACATTTTAGACAAACACTCGAACCCGCCGATTATTTATTAAAGGGAGATTCAACTGTCATATGTCATTCCCCTCTGACCTATTTAATTTAAATAAGAAAGTATGTATCTAGTTTTAATTATTATTATTATTAATCCAGAAGATGACTTCATTGCGTTACTTTTGATTTTTACATATTGTAAAGTGTGACACTTCATTTGGTAGCTAATTTTATTAGTAATTTAATGTGGTTGATTTATTATCGTTAGAGCTCTCCAAAATTTTTAAACAGTTTAAATTCATGTTTCATTCAATTAATAATAATAATAAAGGTCTTTTGTTTTACTATCATGTTACATAACTATTTATATACCTGGAGAGAAAAAAAAAATGCCAAAGATCATGTTCATCGTCACCTAATCTTTGACATTTTTCAATGAAATCTTTGATTCTGTTTTTCGTCTTAGACAGTAGTAGCAAAAACTAAATCATATTCTAATTCAATAATGTCACACTACAATTGGTGTGACATTTTGTTTTTTCATTTAACAAAAGAATATAAAACATTACCGATGAACATTATCAAAGCAGACTATCTTCAAAAAATATTATTAAAGAACTAATTATTTATCAAAGAACATTATCAAAAAAAATCAAAGAAATTTATCTGAAATGTATTACAGATCTTTATCAAAGAGCATTGTCAAAACATATTTTATGCTGTGCATTAAACAACTAATATATTTAGCTTTTACATGATGTGTCGCACTTTACAATACGTGACCATTTTTTATCCCGCTAGACGGCGCTAAAATCAAATGTAACGATATGATTAGTCATATTGCTAAATTTCCTATGAGGCATAAACTTATCTTTTAGATGATGATATGTCATACTTAGAATTTTTCCTATATTCATTATATTAGGCCTTCCAAATTGCCTGCAAGTGGGTCATGATATGGCAACCCTGTGGGCCTGATGATTTGATAAGGTCAATGATATATGTTGCGTTTGAAAAGTACCTCGGTTTGCTTTTTTACTCGATACCGTTCCTTTTTCTCCGTTTGCTCCATTGATATGGTTTGCTCGATGTCACGTTACCAAATAATCTATTTGTTCTGCTCGAGGAGGTACATTTCAAACGTAGCAATAGATGGTCATATAGATTGATTATCCATGTTTCTCAAAATAAACATAAGCTTATGCCTTAAAGTAAAAATGTAAGTAAATATGTTTTTACTATATTCAAAGGCCAAAAATTGGTTTTAAAACACATTTTTGTTAAACCGCTTTGAATAATTGCGATGCAATATGGCCGCTCGCAAACGAGCTACTTTGAGTAGTCTATATAACTATATATGCATCATTGACCTTGTCAAAGACAATAGTCCCACAGATTTGCCATGTCATAACCTGTCATTACTCACGGCAGCACTTTGAGCACATTTTGAGTCATTAGAATGCCTAATCTAATGCACATACTTTGATTTTCTGCCTAATGGATTAGAGGAGAAGGTAATGACAGTTGACATTATGATAGAAAGGTGTCCTCTTCAATGAAGTGGAGAGGGGTAGAATGATAACTGTCAATGAAAAAGTCTGGACACTATGCACAATTTCGTTTTGCACATTTTGTAAACAAAATTCAGGGACGGTTTAACAACATTTTGTGCAACAATTATAAAATAGTGCATCGAAAAATAATTAACAAGTATAATTTAATACTAAATCGGAATAAAAGCATAAAAAATCATAAATATAAGCAAGATAACAAAGAATTGACGCCAAAAAAGCTTACAACAGCCAAAACACAAACAAAAAACAGAGCTGAACATGAACATAATCGCTGAATAAAGTCGATCCTGGAATTTGTTTACAGTGCTTTAGGGCAACCTCTCCTTGTCATTTACGTGTGTAAGAGTGGAAGGCTGAATCACGCATAATTTCTACACTCGTGATGGATGCGCAGACGGTACCTTATCGTTCTACCCTCTCTACTTCTTTGGTCCTCTTGTAATATAAATCTGAAATACAGCAGTCCTTAAACGTCACATAGTAACTAAACTTACTTTAGGTTTGTTCTGGTTTTTAAAATGAAAACGGTTTTGAAATTGCGCCGGACCGTGTGCGTAAAGGCAAAAGATTCCCGACTGTTTGAAATTGTTGGAAAAGCAGAACACATAAAGGTGTTTTGTTTATTATAATAATGCAGTTAAGGGGGTGGGTGGCTCAGTGGTAGAGTCTCTGCCTGCGGATCCAAGGGTTCCAGGTTCGAATCCCACCGTTGGCCGGCATTTTATTAATTCTGATGCCTTGGTAGGATTCCCCACTCGACCATTCACTGTTGGGTTCTACTCGTAATTAACAGTGCTGTTCCTGAAGTGGCGCTGGGAAACAGTAACAAAGCATACACAGAACACGAGGCTAATAACCGTAGTAGTTGATTCAGTTGACACCTAATAAAAAAAAAATAATAATGCAGTTCCTTTTGAAAGCTCAGCTTCAAATAACATTTGCATGTATATGTTCATCATTATCATCTTCATCATACATTTCAATGGAATAAAAAACGGGAAAATAATATTAAAAAATTATTCATTTTAAAATTGCCTCAATTTACAAATAAAACAAGAACAAGAGACATTCTTCTACACATAAATAAACAATTTGGGATTGTATACGTTCTGTATGATCTTAAATGCTAATACAATATTCATATCACTTTAAAAACGCATGCGCGGTCAAAACAGTACGAGTCGATCCACACTCCGAAGCATGATCACATTTTGACTGTTTACAACAATCACGGATTATTTTGGATACGAAACCAGAACACTGGACAGAGAAATCCGAAGTAGTCCGAGAAAAACCAGAACACTTTATAACTACTGTGCATGAGCCCAATAGTTGTGGATCGTTATTTCTTAAAACCAGAACAGACATATGATACACCTATACAGGCGGATCCAAGGGGCAATTTCTCCCCTTGAATCTTATATTTTAACCATTATCTAAAATAGTATATGTTGGTTGTTAATATTTTACAATAAATATAGTGGCGTAGTGCAACAGTAACAAGGCCTACACAAAACACGAGACTCCTGATAATTGTAGTAGTTAAGGCCGTTGACAGTTGACATGCGATGAAAAAAAAAAAAAATAAGCCCAGGCTACGAACCCAGCAAATTGTCCCTTCCCCATTTGAAAGGGTGTGCTGTGCACGGATATCGTAAAAGCTAAAATGTTTCATTTACCCTCGCCAGAACCATTGGAGATCACACCTATAGAGATGTTGTGATACCCCTAGAGTATCGATACTGGTAAGGAAGTACTTTGGACAGTTAGTATTGATACCCGAAACCGATATTTTTTAGTGTTGTTGATTTGACCGGTATTTTTTTGTCAATTGACTAAAATAAAAAAAAAATACAATGAAACGAACTTGAGTGAGTGCGCTCGTTTCTGCACCGTCAAGAATGGCTAGTGAAAAAGTGCTCTGGCGTATCAAATCGGGAGTAATTCCTATATGGGTATCGAATACTAAATTTCCCGGTATCAAATCAAAAAGTATTAATACCAGTATCAAATCAGTAGTAGCGCAATATCTCTAATCATGCAATCGACGATTGGATCACGCAAACAAGCAATCGACGAACCAAAACAAAAACTAGTAATATCTTTCATTTTAACCCAACCATAATCAATCTAACAAAAAATTTGCTATAATAGGTGCTACTAATGCGGCATTGGTCAAGTGAACGTGATGCGAACCCTCGACGTTACACCTTTCTAACCTCTTCGCCGTTTTTTCAATCTCGTCCAAAACGAGATCGTAATTCTCGGGATGATCCAATCTTAGAGTAGCATCGGCTTTAATATTAAGAACCTCGCACTTTATCCTACAGGCGAACTGAAGCACTTGGTCCAACGTGAAGAATCCTAATGCAGCTATTTTTAATCTAGGATCTCGGGTAAATACATAACAACCCTCTTTGTGTGTAGCCGGTTTCATGCCTCTGCGCAGTAACACTTCACAGCCCTGTCTGTCTACCGAGCCCGCATGGGCCTGCACCATGATATCGACCATTTCATCGTATTCGTAGCAAGGCATGAGGTCCAAACTCTTTTTTTCGTATTCGAAGAGTTTGTCGATACTGGGCCCGGCGGCATCGATCATTTTTTTGATGTTCCTAACGCTCGGACTCGCTATATCGATACTGACGTACTTGGTAACCTCGTTCGGGTATATGGAGGCGTACAAAAAGGCTATACCGCCTCCGAGCGAATGACCGATTATCGTGACGTTGTGCCAGTCGAAATGCTTGACTATCCTCCTCAGGAAATGGACGCCGTCCCACCACAGGTAGTACTCCAATCCCTGGGGTATGGGAGAAGAGAATCCGTGACCCGGAAGGTCGATGCAGAAAAACGAAATTCCTCTTTGCGTGAGGAATGGAGCCAAATTGTCGAAGGTGCCGCTGTTGTCTTGCCAACCGTGTATACCTATCACCGGTTGGACGTTTCGTAGTCCCCACCATTTTCCTGGAACAATTCATAAGCATCTGAACAGTGTTAAATTAACCCGGATTAATTTTGTTATCATTCTATTTTCTGTCATCCTAAAATCGCCACCAACCGCTTGGGGTTAAATATTTTACCTGCAGAGAGTATACTCAAAATCGCCATCACTTTTATCTTGGAAAGGTTCCAAATTTGTACTTGAAATTTTAGTTTTAATAACAGTATATTTCTAGTTCTTAACCTTAGATTACGAAGACCATAGAAGAAGAAGTTAGTGCGACTAATAAATGAAGACATCTTTGTTCTTGAACACATCGAAATTAGGTGAAATTCGTTAGCGCTGTTCAATAAGTTCAACAGTTTACACAACAAGTAGCATGACAGCCCTCATTCAAAGGGTCTAATTTAGAAATTTCCAATCTCACTTAAATATAAATTGTAATAATTTTAAACGACCATTCAATATATATTTTCCGACCACTATTTACCCAGGCAGCAAAAAGAAAAGCTGCAGTATAAAGCCAGTTAAAGTCATACGTAATGCTCTTTAGAGCTGACCATAGTATTCCTCCTTGTGGGCAGCCCCGTGTAACTTTTGCTTGTATGGTTGCCTTTTCTAGAGCGGATATGATGGTCCTATTCTTTAGACTGGCAGTGGTCCATTGGCATATTGTGACTGGGTCATTTTTCTGTTCTAGAGCCTTCGTTATTAACCTAGTTGAGGCATTACTGAAAGCTCATTCGATATCTAAGAAAGTGGCCATTTCCATTTCTTCGGCGATTTCTTTGTCATCTATTGACTTTGAAAGTAGCTTGTTTAGATCGTACAGCGCTAGGTCAGTTGACTATTCAGGCTGGTATGCGTATTGGTTTGGATGAAGCGGATTTACTTCTAAAATATCGTTCCTGATATACCTATCTATCAATCTTTCTAGCGTTTTTAGTAAGATTTTGGCGTTTGGTCTGTGACCCTACCTACTTTGGTAAGGTAGACTATTTTCGGATTTTGCCATATTGCAGGCAATGCATGCTCTAAAGATTTTTCATAGATACATCGTTAGCAAGATTTCCTCAATGAGTTTCTTTGTTGTACTCTGTGAGCTTGTTTTTATAAGTAGTCCAGTCTTGCGTGGTTTTGGCTCTGTTGAATAGCTTTCGCATCTCGCCTCTGAGTCTATCTAAGTCATACGTTTGAGTATATATAGCGCAGAAGGTGCATACAGTATCAATATACAAAGTGATAACAGCATTAGCAAAAATTATGCTAGAAATCGAAATCAAGAAATGAAGTAAAGTTAACTTTGAATAATTTGGAATGTTTGCAACCCGATGAGAAAACTTTTGACTTCTTAATGATCAAAGTGTAAAGAAATGAGTCAATTTGGAAAAAAGAAGATTCAAAAAATTTCGGGAAGCTGGTTGTATCTAGGACAGGTTTGGTAGTGTAAAATCCAAAAACTAGGACTCTCAGCAATTTACAAAAATCCGAAAAATGGTTAAGGTATCCTTTTGGATACATCTTTATCCAAGCAATGTTGGCTACGGATTTGTATTGGATTTTGCTGGAGATATGCCAGAAAACAAGGACCTGCGACTTTTTTATGATAATCTAGTAGAAAACTATACAATAGACGAGGAATCTGTATTCTCTCTTTCAATGTGAGCTAAAAATTCTACCAATTTTGCAAGAACTACAAATGCTTGGTAGTTTACTCATTCTAAATTTAATTCTAGTTTTTATAGTCATCACCCTGATTTGAATACCCTTATGAACGTTCTAATTAACGATTTACAATTTCAAACTCACATCGAAATGCAGTATCGACGAAAGGTTGCGAAATAGGCCAAAGCTAGTACGTAAGAGAGAAGGCATTAAAAATGCAATTGGACACTTTTTTAGAATGTATTTCTCATTATATTAGACAATCAATATTTTTAAAAACAATGCAAATACTCCTATTTTTCTGAATCTGAATTTTTAATATTATAATCTATACTAGACTACTACTTTTTTAGTTAAAATGCATCAAACAGATTTTGTTTTATGAGTAAAAGAAAGTGGATTTGGCCCTGGGTATTCAGACACCAATGTAAGAAATGGCGATTTTAGATGTTAGGCTGTGAAAAGTAACATTGGTGACGATTTTGGGAAATTCCGTATTTTATATCTTTAAAAATAAAATAAACAGTTATTTAATTATCTATAACCACTATAAGTTAGTAGTACTATATTTTTATTAGACGTTTAAGTTAATAAATTAAAATGTACTTACCACTAATATGGCCCCAAGGTACCGGTACTTTAATTTCTGCGGGATCATTTGAGTAACCTGCAATGAAATATTTTCATTATTCATTTTTTCAAGGCACACAGTAGGATTTCCAAGTGTAGGACAATTTCTAAACGCCTGAACCCTAAACCTAAGGTTTTTGTAATATAACTCGGAAACCCTATATACAGTGTGTCTACTTAAGTTGGAACCATATGGAAAACATTTTTATTATTGATTTTAGGAAAAAAAGTTATTCTTGATAAAAAGTCCTGCATGACCCAAAACTTAAAATACAGTTATCAGATATCAAATTTTTCAAGCCGTATACGAGGTTTGTCAAAAAATATGAATTTTGCTCAAGAGTAAAGTACGTTTATTTTTTTTACAAAATCGAAAATTTTCATTAAGAAATTTGCTAAATTCTTCACAAACATCAACAAAAGGAAAGCGTATCATGTTTATAGTAGCTAACGTAATTTATAACGTTTTCAGATATTTACAATCAATGTGTAGAGTGTAGAGTTTATAAAAAATAAGAAAATCTGTTTTTTCAGATAGATCGGTGTAATTGCATATTTGAATGTAATATTCAATTCTAATCAACTTTTCTTAACTTAAGTAGACAGACTGTATACATTTTCCAACACTACGCGACGAGTTATATATGATGACATGAAAATCAGATAAGTGTTTAAATTTTAACGGCAATTGGGGTCTATTCTGTAATAATTTCTTTATATTTAACGGCCTTTAAAAATATGTTTGTATTCGTTAATTTACTTCTGTCATTATTTAAACAGATTTCTTTAAGATAGTCCTCTAATGTATTTTAAATTTTAAATAATGACAGAAGTAAAGAAGAAAATATTTTTAAATGCCTTTAAATATAAAGGAATGGTTACAGAATAGACCCCATTGTGAGGCAAATGAAACACATTTTTGGACCTTCTCCTTACGTAATCTACTGGAAAGTAATCTACTGAATGCGACCTACAAAATGGTATATTACACGATATTGATAGGTTAGAACTAATCGAGATACGGTGGCATTATTACTGATGAATGGGATTTTGGCTCTAATTTGGGTTACCTTTACTACAGGATCCAATAACTTTGAAATTAAATATTTAAGCCATAGTTTGAGCTAAGAATATGCGGTTTGAGGCATTGCATTATTTTCGTTGAACTCTACGAAGTGGTATATACAGTATGTTAAGTTTCCCACAATGACGATAGAAGAACGGTATAAAATAAGCGATGCTATTGATTAGAGAGGTAGAACAGTTCGCTCCAGCCCACTAGAGGTAGAGGTGTATCCAATCTGTCGATTCACGAGAATCTCTCTCTTTGTTTCTCGAAGGATCTATGGGTTAACATATTGTATACATATTCATATAGCTCAAAATTTCGAAAATCGATGTTACTTTTTTAAAAAAAAAAGATCTCCACGCTCACCAATTAAGGATTCGATATTCATTCGTATAAGATTCGTGAGAAAACAAATGTATGAATTAATTGTAAGGGCAGAAAATAGGATTTTTGGTCGAATTTTAACAGACAATCAGGGTTTTTGTTATATAACTCAGAAATCGTTTGAGCTACTCTACCCTCGCGCTTTATCTCTATCCTCGAAACAGTTAATAGGAAAAAAATAATATGTATATCAATAGACGATTTCAACGGAAGACATCTTGAAGTTGCAAGGTCATTGGAAAATCTTTTCTCCATCTACAAGTTTACATAACAACTAATAAAATAAAAAAGAAAACTGTAAATTATTATTTTGGCAATCTGTTTAAGGTTACGGCGTCGGTATTCATTTTTTTCTTTTTTCTTTGTCTTCTTCATTATTTGTATGTGCTCAGTTTTTCACTACCTCTTTCTACTTAGTGCCAGGTCCCAGAGTCTTATTTTTCTTAGTCATGTGTCATGTCAAAATTTGTAAAAACATAAAACGACCTAACGCGCGCTTAGCAAGCCATGTAGATCTAGATTCCAGATCTTGGCGATAGTGAGAGTGAAAACTGAGGCCATACAACTAAAGAAGAAAACAAGAAAAAAAATATACTTAACGCCGCTGTAACTTTAGACACATTGCCAAAATAATAATTTACAGTTTTCTTTTTTATTTTATTAGTTGTTATGTAAGCTTATAGATGGCGTAAAGATCTTCTAATGACCTTGCAACTTCAAGATGTCTTCCGTTGAAATCATCTATTTTGTTGGAATTTTAGTGCCGAACAACTTTTGCATTTACAGTTTTAGAATGAAATACTAGTTTGTGCAGCAAGAGTGGATATGAAGACGAAATTTGAGCACGACGCCATAAGCTGAGTGCTTAATCGTCTGAATGCGATGTGGACAATCCACTCGAGTTGTACAGTATATTTTTTCTACGACCCACTAACGAAAATCTACAAATATTAAAAATGATTTTAGGTTATTAAGATAAATATAATTCATTTAAAAATAATTTATGACTTTTACTAATTTATAAAACAAAATAAACAAAATTAAAAGAAAATTTTTTATTTTTCTCCATCTGAGATTCGAACTAGAGTCTTCTGTATGGAAGGCAAGAAAGCTGACCACAGGACCATGTACACGTTTATTTTTTTGCTTTAATACTCTTAATTAAATTGAATTCATATAGTTTTATTTAAATTAACAAATTATTTATAATTATAGACGAAATAAAAATAGAAATTCTATTATTTATCGATTCTACACAAGAATAAGTCATCTTAATGTATGTTTATTCTCAATAACTAAAAAATATACTGACAAATGGTTTGACAGAATTGTCACTTATTTAAAATTTTAAAAATAATAGTAGTCGGATGTTCAAAATATGAACTATGAATGGTGGATTTAATTTTTTTACAGTGTTCTCACTACCTAGAATGGATATGAAATATATTCGTTCAGTTGAAGGCAATAGCATACTTTTTCGTTTTGTAATCTGTGCGTAGATAAGCTAATATCCATGTGGGTGTAGAAAAAATAAGTTTGGGTCGAAAATGCGAGAAAATAGGTTTTGGAAACTTTGGCGCCCCCTACTTCTTGCATTTATTATCGTTGTGCAGTAACAAAAAGAGATAAATAATTGTAGAAAATATTATTATCTACAACTTTTGTATAAAACATTTTCTTCTACGACTCAGTTTTCCCGAAAAATCGATTTAATAAAAAATATAATTCAAAATGCCAAGTGGATTTCGAAAATTTGATTTAAAGCTTCTTTTATGGTTATATTATGATTCATAAGTTACAATCGAAAGAAGTTTTTGTAGGAAAAATCTATTTTAATAGTACGCTAAATGTACAGGGTGAGCGAAACTCGATACATTATAACATTATAAGAAAAGGAAAAATCTGAAAATAGCTCGGAAAAAGGTTATTAAATAAGATTAAGGGTCCGTTCTGTGGTATGTTTTTTTTTCAAATTTGGAAACAGACAAACACGTCATCTATTTTTTTCCCGAAACATATATATTTTTGCACTTTTAAAAGGGCTTCTTTTAAAAAGCTATAAGCTAATTTGTAAAAAAAGTATTATCAAAAATTCGCAGTCGTCACCATTTAAACAAGTAGCCTTTGGAAACAAATAGAAAAATCGCATCTGTCAATAATTAAACTTATGGTTGCCAAAATATTCTTTTGTTATCATTTGACTTTTAAAAATGTTCACGAACAACGAAAATATCGAAATATTATTAGTTTATAAGAATCACAAAAGAACCCTAAAAAAGCAATTCAGTTATACGCTCAGAGATATCTCGAACGTGTTATTCCAAGCTTTAAAATTTGAAAGATTGGGGAACGCAATTTACGTGCAAATAACAAGGCAGTTTCTTCTCGAAAGACAAGAAAAATTGCTATAAGGATCAATTCTGACAATACTGACGCCACTATTTTGCAGTATTTTAAAATCCATCCAAGAAACTCGATTCGCAAGCCTATCGTGAGTTGAATTTAAAATCTAGATAGCTGTTTTGTTATTAACGGTAAGCCAAATAAAAAAATAAACATTATTGGCTAATGAAAATCCACATTTTCTCAATTCGATTGAAAACCAAGGACACTTCGGAATCAGTCCATTTTTTACGAAGGAGTTTTATTTGCTGAACAATATTTACAATTTCTTTAAGGACAACTTCCTGTGTGCTTCTCAAAAATGAGCCACTACCTACCTCCATGATTCTGATCGAGCTCCACCACATAAAGCAAGAATTCTCCAAAACAATGGTTGACTAAATCACCGGACTTGACTCCACTAGATTTCTTCTTGTGGGGAATTTTGAGAAATAAAGTTTACAGAACAATATCTGTTAACACTTTCGCTGCCCAAGCTTTGATGACAACTACACGCTCTGGCCTATCGATATACGAACATTTAGAAGTTTGCACGTTCATTAACGTTGGGCCATACACACTATAAATCTAAAAATGTATTCTGGGGAATAGCTATTATATATACAGGGTGTTCAGATTTAAACATTTTTCTTTATATTCATCTATCAAATTAAGATCCTGTATATAAAATTCATTATTTATTGAATTAAAATGTTTAATTTCATATGCAATTAATAATTAACACGTTCCAATTTCAGTTCAAGTTCAATGTTTAAATCGTAATAAAAAATGCTGACTTATTTTCAAAACACTGAATTGGAGACCTTTAAATTTGAATAATAATATTTTTCTAATATACATTTAAATAATTAAATATTAATTGTTATTGCATATTGTCTGTTCTGTGATATTATAAATGTAGATACAAACAAGAAAACTAACAACATGTGGTAGTATACTTTACAAAATTATCTCTAAAATGAGATTCATCAAAACCATCTTGTGGTATTAATTACAAAAAATCTTTAAAGATTATTTACAGGGTGATCATAAATACAGACAGAAATTAACACAGAAAGAGAAAAAAATATTGACCTCTACGAGGCTATGACTCTACAGGATGTCAAGTACTGATGTCAGAGAAGTATATTACCGGGTCGCTGGCTGACGGTGCACTTATAAATTTATTTATCGGTAGTCAA